CAAACCCGTCCACTAGGTTTTGAGGCTTCTCACAGAACAAATGAATACTTGTCAGAGAATCGCAATTGGAATTGTTAGAATCTTGGGGAATCGTTCATGTCTGTATAATAGCTTTGACATTTTTCAGTTTAGACCAAAGCAGTACTATTGTGACTTGTTGTAAAGTTATAAACACCAAAGGAAAAAGAAGATTGTTCCACCTTTATGCCAGCAGCAGATGTAGACAAACAGCTGGCTCTGTTTAAAAGGGAGATGTGGCTTCCTGGGATAAAACCTGACAATCACAAACACTCGCGGTAATATGTTTGGTTTGGTTCAGTGCAATCAGGCAGAGGCACAAAGGGTTTCCTTCAGAGCAATATGACAGTTTCTTTGTACAAAGGTCAGCGGGAAACTCAATTGCACTGAGGTGCTGTGGGGGAATACACCGCTGAGGTTTGTGTCAAGGTTGTGAGTTTGATTGTGATTAGAGGAAAAAGGTGCCTGTCAAGGACAAGCAAATGTGAAATGGCAGCTCAGGTGGGGGGATGACTCTGGCTGGAGGAGGTATTGTATTTGTTCAAATCAGCAAAACCCCTTCCAGCATCACATAATGACTTTGCCTAACCTTGAAAAATCTAAGTGGTTCTGGAAAACCAGCAGGAGAGGCAATCGTTTTGACCTTTACAAAAATAAAACTGTCTACTCTGCCGTAACGAGTTTTTGTTACTCAAAATTCAGTGATGCAAATACAAACGCAAATCACATTTGAAGGAGTTTGGTCCTTGGTTACTGTTGACATCGGTGAAATTGACAACTCCAGACTTCAGCAGACCAATGCAGCTGTCCCCCGATTCATGGACACACAAAAAACCACATCAGTCAATCAGCATTTCCTGCTCCAGCTCAGGGACAAAAATAAATGGTTGTATTGTAAACTATGTGTGCACCATTAAGACATAAACGTAGCTCACAAGTAACTGTTCCTCAGTGACTAATTCGTTTTTTAATCTTTTTTGTAAGCTCTTTCTTTACTCTATTTTGAAAGAAGTAACTGTACATTATTCCTCATTTTCAAATATAGGGTAGAAATATGATAAAAGTTATTGCCCATGGCGACCTCGTAGTTGTATTTTTATTCCCATACAATGTTTAGGTTTAAAGACTGTTTAGTTTGAATGAGGAGCCGCTGTTCCTGATTTGTGAAACAACACAGCGCAAGAACATTTAGTTTGCACACAGTGCTTGAGGCTTGGTAAATGACATTTGTGTTTACATCCAAATATACTTAGTGAAAAGAATACACACAACGCACAACACACACACCATCGTCCTCTCCACGTGTTTGGGGAAAACCAGTGGCTGCAGAACACAGGAGAGCAAACTGGCTCTGTCAGGGCTTCTGGTTGACACTTGCCCCGTCCCCATCACCCCCATGAAGTCACTTGATATTACTCACATGACGTCCATGCTAACCTGTAGTAGAAGTCCTCCTGACTAGATTTTGTTTAGAACAGGAAATAAACAGACTGAAGTTTAGGTGTCCCACATTACCCAATGTCCCAGACGACCTGAATTTACCCAGTTTACATAGTTATACTGATGCTTACACCTCTGCAGAAAAGGGTTGCCTTCATATACAGTAGATACTGAGATTATTCACATAGACCCTATGGCTGAAGAGATCTTCTATTCACAATCTATACCTGTTATCTTTTGGCCGTTGTGAGGGGAGTTGGAGTCAATCTGACAACAAGCATCACCAGAGAGAAACACGCATTCACACTCACACCTACGCCCACTTTATTATCATATAATAATAATAACTTTGTGTGTATAACATGGGCTTCACAAAAATCAAAGGATAAGGTATTCAATTCATTAAGATCAAGCCCCTAAACTTTATAGAGAAACCCAACAGTTCCCAACACTTTCGCAAGTGTGGAGAGAAAAAACTCCCTTATCAACTGGAGGGCCACCTGCTTCATGGGGTTGGGGTGAGCGGAGAAGAATGGGGAAGAGAGGAGAGGTGGGGAGACCAAGAACAGTTGTGTAACCATCGCATTTAAGCTGGCAGACTGGTTGTTATAATGAAAATAATAATAATCTCCAGTTGTACCTTAGCATCATCAGGTGTTCCAGAAAACACTTGTTTTTTATAATACAAAATATGTTGGAGGTTAAGATTACTGCTTATATTATTCTCTGAGTCTAACTGTGGGACTTTATATAATGATACTGAAGACAAATTAAAGTCTCTCACTGACCTTTCACAGCCATTATAATAATAGGCTCCCTCCATACAAGTCACATTACCTGGTGTGCATCCATCATGGAATTTCATTCAGTCTGAGCCTGCTGCTGTCTCTGTGACAGTGTAATTATCCCATGTTAAATTGCTGTGAATGGAATAATTGTATTGTTAAGAGCTTTGAGTGGTCACCAAGACAAAAAAAGCTAAATATAAATATAGACCATTAGCCATTTAAAGGTTCAGTGTGTAGAATCTAGTGTTGAAGTTGCATGTTGCAGCTGAACACCCCTCACCTCACCCTCTCCTTCCAAACATGAAAAAGAAACTGTGGTGAACTTCAGTTTTCATAAAAACTCAAAAGGTGTTTAGTTTGTCCAGTTTGGACGACAGTAAAAAACATGGCAGCCTCCGTAGAAAGGACCCGCTATCGATGTAAATATAAAGTATTTAAATATTAAGGGCTCATTAAGAGTAAAGAAAACAACAATTGGTTCAATTTAGATGAAACACAGTTGTGAAAACATCACCAGGATTAATTTCTGCCAATTTGTTAAATTATTTATTCAAGTATTGCTGTACGTTATATTAAAGAGTAGCTTTAATTTAAACAAATGCAATAAAACAAACCAAACAAACTATATTTGTCTTTAACTGACTTCTCTGCATGAGTCTCTCCCATATCAGCACCTGCGTTTCACAGTTACTTTGTGTAAAATAAACGTTTACGCAGGAATCCTGAGTTGACTGTTCTCACCACTTCGACTGATAAAACCCAAATCCTCCTGCAGCAGAGAAAACAAGGTACGTATAGATTTTACAGTCCATTTTAGTATGAACTCAAATTCCTTCATGTTATCCCTTTATCCAGTGACAGAGAAGGCAAAGTCCTAACATCACAACTTTAACCACTTCAACCTGGACAATTTTCCTCTTGCGTGTGCACATATATAGCGCTGGTAACCCTCCGGATAAAGCACTTCTCACTTTCAAGTGAGCGTCCTGCGTCCTCCTGAGTGAGATGGGATCTGGCGTACGGTTTGATCTGTGCAGAAGTGCAGAGTGCCGCTGCTCTAGCACGCTAACAAACTGTAAATGAGAAAAGGTCAGGCAGAAGTGAATCCCTGCGCTGACTTTACCAGATAAATGAGAGCTCTCAGGTGGCAGTGTCAGCCTGAACAGGATACGTGAAGCACAATGTTGCTGCCTTGTGCTGCTCCTTTAGGCAATGTTGTCAGGAGGTGCAACAGGAACCAGCACTTGTTTGTGCTGCTACAGGCCGTGACTGCTGCGGGAACTCCCATGATGCACTGAGCACTTCATATTCTCTCTCTCTGCCTTGTATGTATTTATATCACACTGCTTCATGTCATTAACTTTGTGTTTTTTATCTCCCGCAGTCTGTTGTTTCCGTCTCTCTCTCTCTGAGGCCAGAGCTGCAGGATCCAGATGTGACTCTACTCAAAAATGATTATTATTTATAATATCCTTTAACACCTTTAAGTACCATTGCTATAATTGGAATTGCAATACTTCCTTTTTTTTCTTGGTGAGTCATCTCTCCGGAGTTGGGTTGATCTATTGGAGGTTTCTGCCTGTTGATGTTTTAGTTTCTTAGTTTCTTTTCCCACTGGACTGTTTTTCAAATGTAAAAAACAAGAAGCCTTCTGTGTGGTAAATTTGTTTTGAAGCTGCTCTCAGCTCAGCTCAGCTCAGCCCCGGGTGGCAAAATGTGGACAAAACCAAAAGAAGCTGAGTCAAGCAATCAAACAACACTGATAAGAGGGTAATAACAAAGTGAGAGCGAGTTAACGGAATGGAAGCGGGAGAAAGGAGATATGATGTTAATTTGAGGCCTGTGGTCTTTTGTTTGACTTTGATTATATCCCATTCTTCTTAGCTTTTTAAAAATGAAAACAGAAAACAACAAAACAAAGATGACCTGACGTCCACAGGATCCAGTATTTTCTCATTTACGGCCTCTAGAGACGCAGAAAGAGATGATGTACTGAGCCATTTCGGTTTTCTGGAAAATTCAGTTTCATATTTTCATTGGTCCTGCAAAACGTTGGTGACCTGTATTAACAGAGACAAATGAAATAGGTACAGAAAATGAACAGCTGAACTGGGCAGGTGCATGGCCAACTATCCCAAAACCGAATATAAAGATGGACTACAAGACAGTTAAAAGTGAAGCCAACAACATGGACCAACGTAGTGCTCATGTTACTGTTATGTTCGGTTTTAATTGGTTATTTAATTCTCGATACTGCGGCTCCACTATCACTGCTTCACTGACTCTGGCATCAAAAGCTCAAAATGTAACTGAATCAACAATTCTTTGCCTTCACTTATGGACAGAGGGAGGAAGAGGAGTGCAGTCAGATTTTGGATGAGATCAATATCTTGGAGCAGGATCATAATCAGAGTGTGATGAGCAAAATCAAACGGACAAAGATAAATGTATTTATATAATCACTTCCTCTTGTTCGAACAGACCAGGTGCATGTATGCACACAACCAGCGGGTTAGACAGACAGAAGTCAGATACGATAATAGATGGAACACGTCATCCATGCGTAATTTAAAAACTGTGAGGCGCTGCACTTCCTCAGAAACTCATTCTCTCCTCTGGTCGATTTTCCACTCGATATTTCCAAGAACGCATTTTTAGGAATCCAAGCATGAACAAGCCTCAAGGCTGTTGTGAGGCTGTGAAAACTTTGTAGAATGATGCACACACAAAAAAAAGAAGGAAAAGACAGTCTGAGTCAGTAAATAAAGACGATATTTATTCTTTTTTTTGGAAAGATTCTCAGCTCATGCAAGGATACAGCTCTTGTAAACAAAATCACTTGAAAATATGTTATAAATGTGCACAGATTTCTTTTCTTGGTGTCAAACTCTGGAATGTACAATATGTGGAAGTTAAGCTGCATTACAGATATTACACAAAAAGCTGTCACCCAAACCCCCCTGGGTGCCTCGTTCCCCCACATTGTAATTATTTCATTGCCCGGCCATGATGCTGGAGAGTTTTGTTTGTTTTACATCAGGCATCCTCTCACTGCGGGGGTGCTGTATCATTAAGGGCAGAAAGACAACTTGGTCAATGCGCTCTGCAGTCCAGCACTTCATGGACACTGTTACGTTTGTGGGCAGAAACACACATATACACACACACACACACACACAGGACACATTAAACCAAAGCCTGAGGATGATTTAAAAGTAAAGTAACGCTTCTTTAAGACCTCTGCGATGTATCTGTGAGAATACAAAATAAAAAAAGCACTAAGGATAAAGAGTATGAGTATTGGCGATGACAGAACATTAAACTTGGAACAGGAAGCTGCTGTCAATATTTTGACCAGTGTTCAGAGCTATCACATCCCTCCAATCCACGCTGAGGCCGGAGGAGACAACTCAAAAAGCATGTCCACACCAAGGGATAAGCTGGTTATCGTCAGCACAGAGCCGCACACTAAGAGCTCAGGGCTACAGGTCTGATGTTACTGAGGGCAGCTCGCACCCTACACCGTGTTAGTTCCACCCGCACCGCGCTGCACACTTCTGCAACCCTGAACCACCGTGCTAGCAGCGGTTAGGAGTCCAGATATCTCAGAATTAAAAGAGCAACTAGCGTCCTGAAGACAACAGTTCTGTCCTGAAAGAGAAAACAAAGTATACAGCAAGAAACCAGCCACGTTTTATTTTCTGTTTAAGAGCTGCGACTGCCGGCGAGTCCACCGTGCAAACAGCTCAACATACACCAAATATATGATTCGTAACAGCAGGACCAAATACATGACTTACAAATGCATTCACTTTTAACTGTATAAGAACCTCAGGGCATAGGTTGGTCCCAACTGTATATATATCATGTTTTTATATATATATATTTAAAAATGTATTGCTGTTGCTAGACATCATTTTGCTGGAATGATGTAGAAGTGTGCTCCAGGGTGATTGAGTGCACTGTGACATCACTGTGCAGTGTGGCTGAATATCTGTATCAAACCTCGTGGGAATGCATCCCACAAAATGGATGACAAATTAAAGGAAAAACCTGAAGAACGAGTGGAGAGATAGAGGATGATAACACATCCATACTGCTGCATTTGTTTAAAAATGGGATCCACAATCTGTCCACATGTTCAGTTTAATCCCTGTCCATTCTAACACGCCTGAAAACGCATATCACGTGACAACTCACGTACACTGGGTATGCAGGAAGTTAGTAGGAAGCATTTGCATGTTAGTTGAAGAAAAAAATGGTAAAAAGTAAAATCATGGCTTTGCAGAATTTAATCTGCACAACTATTCGCAAAGACAACAGGATCAGTAAGGCCTTTGTAATTGATGATCCAGGTTGTGTTCTACAGTGGTAGCCGAGGCTAATGCCATTCTGCTGGAATGGGGTCATGTGATAGGAGTTTGACAAATTAGGGAAAAGAGCCAATCAGCAAGTGATTGTGAGTGTCAACGTCATCGCTTCCAAACATTTTCCAACTTCTCAGTTTCAGCAGCTCTGACACTCTGGAGTAGTGTGGACACCAGGTGTAACTTGAGCAGAGTGGATGTGTGGTAGTATGGATGGGACACCTATGGACATTTTGGTTTGGTTTCCGTTACAAAGCGCTCTCCAGACAGTTACAGACGGAGAATCAATGGACTGAAGCTATTCTGGTGGCCCAACCCTTCACTAAGACACATTATCTTGGTTTCTCCTTTAATTTGTCAACCTTCTGCATATTTTTCCATCGAAGCAGTGACCTGTCCAATCAACAGACGGACAAACTCATAGTGATGGCCGATGCTATAGCTGTGATGCTAGTGTTGCTAAAAAAGACATTTGGCAGACACACAGATTGCGTCGTTGTGATTGTTTTAAAAGTCTGCCGAGATCATTTTTAAATTATTTGATACAATCACATTTTAAAAAACGACAGTGGAGCTCTAATAAACATTTCTTCTCTAATAGAGTTAAGAGAGTGTGAGTTTTTTTTTTTTAAATGTTATTTCTACACTTCCAGTTGAACTTGTGTACAGGCATGTTCAATGATTACAGGACATCTGATGAGTGCTGTGCAGGCTAATACAAAACACAGAGAGACGAGGCTCCTCTCAGATCATTTCACTGTGAGTCAAAGGAGAAAGGGAGGATAAACGCCAGATTAAAAACACAGAGGCGGCCTTTTTCAAAAACTGGCCATGTGTGAATGATAGAACTCCTTCGTGATTGTGTGTGTGTGTGTGTGTGTGTATCTGCATCACCTGCAGACTGTGTGGCTGAAGCTCTGAGAACATGAAACGAATGCAACCCTCACAAAGATAGAAGAGACCAGCCTAGAAGAGGTCCTCTATATAGCATTTGACTAGACACGTCAGTAGACTTAAAAAATATAGATATACAATATCATCATGCTGCAGACATTCCAGACACCATCGTGGAAAATGTAAGCTCCCATTATAAACACTTAATAGAATTTACTTTTTTTTATCAGGCACAGTAGTGTTACCCTGGATAGGAATGCTAGAAAACATATAAAAGACAAAGAGAATCGAACACAGCGCTGTCTCTGAAGCACAGCAGCCGTGGAGGCTACTGCTGTCAGGCGCTGCACGAGAAAGAAAAAAAAAAAATCATTTATCGTGAGGATGCGAGGTTGTTAACTGAAATTAATTATTTTCTCACATTTTATAATCAAAAAATTTGTGCATCATAAAAAAAATGAAGAGAAAGAAAATTAGGCGAGGAAAACAAACGCCCCCTGCTTTATACAAAGTCAGTAGTACTGAGAGTGAAGCTCCTCCCTGAGGAGTTCGAGGAACATCGGAGTAAAAGGGAGAGAAAACGTGACCGGAAGAAAATAAAAAAAGTCCAGCGCATGTAGTTTGCAGTAAGGCCTCAGTTTTCATGTGTTGGCAAAAGAAAAAAAGAAAAGAAAAAGAGAAACATATACATCTGGAACATAATTACATCTAGCTTGAAAAAAAAAATGATATGTGCAAAATGTAAATCTTACAAATATGGGGCGAGTTTATTATTGTAGATCACTGAAAAGAGATTGTGCTCCAGGTGGCCGATCTGATTCTCCACCCTCTCTCCGTCCGTCCCTCACCGCCTTCCTGCTCTCTGGTTGGTCGACAGGCCAGCAGCTGGCCTTGATGCACGCTGGTGATTGCGGCGCGAGCTTCACGTCGAGTGGACGGTTCGCTTGAGTTTTTCTATCTCCATCTGTGGATACACAAACGCACAACACAAACTGTCAGAAAGGAGATTCGCAAATTAAATCTGCACTGTGCTGTATCTGTCAGAGCAGGTTGAGCTCATGATTTAGAGACATCGTCCAAAGCTGTGAAACACACAGGTGGAGGTTCTCCCTCTGCGGACGGGATTTGTTTAGTGGTGAGGATTAAGAGGAGGAAATTATAACGAAGCTACATCCTGGAGGAAAACCTGAGCTGAGCAGCAAAGTATCTTCAAACAGAACTGAAAACAATATTCAGAAGGCTGAGGACAAGACTTTCAAAAGTCACTAACGGACCCTAATGTGTTTATTATTACCACCCTGTAGAGTGGTTATGTCTTTAGTCCCGTTTTTAAATTCATATTTAAATGAAGCCATCATTTTCTCTGGAACATCATAACAGCCAGAATCATCCGACTGATGAGCAGTGAGGACAAATTAACACTTCACCGGGTTTGCTGGCCAAAAAAAAAACTTTTACAAGATTGCTCTGACACCAATTTGACACCAGAATAAGTGGGTATACACAGGGTTTTTTTTTGACGCAGGTAAACCTGCTACAAAAAGGCAATTTATTTCTCTCCCATTGCCAGCAGACGTGTTTGGTTTCTTCTTTTCCCTTGGTGCACCATGTTCAATGTCACCAACGCACTGAAAACTGAGGTGCTGTATTGTCAAATTAGTACGTTCACCCGGGGGTCACTTTTCCATCACTGCGTATAGAAGCCAGAGCAGATTAAAAAGTAATCTGACATGGAAGTGAATGCTGATTGTATCAATTCCCATTGTCGATATGTCAGGGTGTAAATTCTTTTTTTTTGACCAGTGCAAAAAGAGCTACAGAGACAAAGCTGTAACCTCATTCTGAAAGAGAACTAATGAAGACAGATGTTGCTGCTGAGGATCAAGGTTTCAGAGTCGTAGCTGATATGGAAAATTACGAAAACAAACACTGATGGACACCACAACATAAGCCCAGTTTTTCTCTCTTGGCTTGGAATGTGACTAGAATCTCTCTCAGTTGAGCTTGTATGACCAAGTTGTTTTGGCCAGAACCAGCTTCGGGTATCATCATTATCACCACTACCATCTGACATCAGATGCCAAAAACAATACGTTGCAGGCATCACATTACAGAGGTTATTTAAATAATCATATTCAATATGGAAGGATGTTATAAAAACTGAAGCAGCAACTTGTTAGGCAAAAGGTTCCACACCCATACTATATAAATGATGATAGATACTGACTCGGGAAGTTGTCGGAAAAAAAATAACTCTATTGAAGGACACACCCTGCTATATAACCCTCATATTGATTACACTATCTGAAGTCACACGTGCAAGCTGTAGGAGTTGAGTTCCATTAAATGCTATAACTACCCCCCCCTCTTCTATGTGCCTTAACAAAAGACTGGAGCTGAATGTGTCTTTGCACGTTGCATCACACATTCTGTGCTTCACCCAGCAACAGACCAGGAGCAGAGTACCAAAGTAAGCGATATGGTAATTTCCCTATATCTTTTTTGTTTTTTTTACTGGTTTGTAATCTCTTACTATACACTGAACACACGAAGGTAGAAGTTAATCGTAAGAGGTTTAAACAAATCTATGATCTTTATGTTTGTGTGTGGAGCACTCCACAGGCGTTCTGTCCTCCTGTGATGGAATTCATATCGCTGCCATGCTGCTGTCTCACCGGAGCTGGCTTATACTGGCTGGGTGGTTCATCTCAGTGGAGATAAAACACCCCATCGTTCCTAAAATGCATTTTACAAATAATATTAATATATTATCTATTAATATATTTTGAATGAACTACCTAAATTATACCACCTTAAAGGTACAGTGTGTAGAATTTAGTGATATCTAGTGTTGAAATTGTATTTTGCAGCTGAACGCCCCTCACCTCACCCTCTCCTTCCAAGGGGGGGGCGCTATGGTGCAGCTCCAATACAATTGAACTATCCCTTCAAATGTTACTAGGCATGGTCGACAACAGAGTATTGAAGCAGGCAACAGAAACAAGTCGCACCCCCTGATGATGTAATTGTAACTGTTGGTTCATTTACAAAAGAACAAAAGCTAATAGTTTCTTATTGGAAGATATATAACGAACTCAACAGAGTTTGTTATATATCTGTTGTGTTATGGAATGTATGAAAAAAACATGAAGGAGTTGGGGTATTGGATATGGAAAAAACGTGCTTTGTGTAGTGTATTGAGTATCTCAGTCCAAACCAAGAAACACGTGGCCTGAGGTTCTCAAAGCAGTGGACGAGCATAATGTGCTTCCAGCAAATTCATTTCCTTAAACAAGGCGATGGCAGAGTTAAATTTGCACTCAGGGACAGAGGAAACAGTATCCTCCTGTATTTTATTAAAATGTTATAGTTGTGCTCACAAGGTGAAGCTTTCTTCAATGACCTTTATGGCATTTTTGTTTATGCATCATTTGTCGTGATCACCCAAATTGTTAAAGGAAATTATGAAATATATATATATATGATATATATATATATATAAGTGGAGGATATATTCCTGCGTGGCTGTTTTAAATAAATATACACACATCTGATTTCCTACAGCACGTCTTGCAAACTACATTTGTTTAGACATTTGTTTAGACAGACCATAAACTGGCCATCACAGCCTCTTACTGCTGTTGGGCGGCCATTAAAAGTCAATACTGTATGTACCTGTTGGTGCACGCATTGCAGTATATGTGCGCATGCATGTCCATGTGCTTGTTTGGGTCCTTGTGTGTGCAAAACAGCATCGATATTTGGCTAAACTAATGAGAGTAATGCATGTAGACAGCCCAGTGTGCATTCCTATTGAGATCAATGTTACCTGCAGGTTCACACGCTTTATCCTCTCCTCCTCCAGCTCTCGTCGCAGCTCCCCTATCTCTTTCCTGGAAATAAAGACACACATACAGACTCATTAGTATGCACTGCTGCAGCATATATGAAAGGCTCAAATGTTTGTGTTGTAACTATTGTCTGTTCTTTGAAGATGGAGAAAAAAAGAAGGTACATTTTACATCTGTGGGAAAATGTTTCCTAGAACATGAAACAAACCTTTAATGCTAAAACACTGCGAGCTAAATGTCCTTCAACAAAACCAAATTGCAATTGTCAGCATGAAAAAGCAGCTCAGCATGAAACCTTGTATCACTGTAAAACGGTCACAATGATTCATGCTCAGATCTTTATATAGTATATTCTGATATATAATTACAGAATAGTATAAAGTAACTAGCGTCACTATGATGTGAGTAATGGAGGAAATATGGCTCAGAAGAAACTGCTTTAGGCAATACAAATACATAGAATTTAAAAGTAGTACTAGGGTGACTGTTGATGAGTTTTGCATTAATGTGAACAGAAACTCCTAAAAATAATTAATGTCACACCTTAAACAGACGCTAAAATTTGTCCCACCATTCTCAAACAATCTGTCAAGTATAAATGGATCAACGGGGGCTGGGGACTGAAATCTGGTGCCTGTTCCTACACAGCTGAATTTTGGTGCAGTTAGCATTACACCTAAGCTGAAAGCTACCACAAACGCGAGTCGACATGGCAACAAAACGCCTACAGCTAAAAATTCAAACGTGTGGCTGTTGTTCCGTTGAAAAGATTTGAACACCAGGACGTGCAGGACATTTTTGAAAACGAACTGAGTAAAGGGAGAACACCGCAGACTTAGTCAGGCAGATACATTTGGAAGGATTCACCGTTTGACAATTTGTGTACTTCAAATAGCGTGTGAACCGAAATTAGTCATTTGTCTCTTAACATGAATGGGAACTATGACACACTGAACTGTGAAGTTTAAGCAATTAAGCAATCAATTTGCTTGGGTGGTGTGAATTTTTATCGTTCTGGCACCATGAAATATTGATTCAGCACCAGTATTGGAAAAACTCCAAACGATACACAACCCAACATATGTCCACAAGCTCAGATCCTTTCACCAACACATTCACTTCTCTATTTCCTCTTCACTGCAACATATTCAAACTCTGTTCTCATGCACATCGCGTCTCATTACATTTGCTGGGTTTTGAGCAGCTCCACGGACATCAGCAGCTCCTTCATCTGGCTCCTCAGCTCGTCCAGCTGAGAGCTCGGCTCCTCAGGCTCATGCCGGCCTCGGCTGCTATGAGAGGTGCTGTTGGAGCTCGGTGGTGCCACTGCGGGGCTCGGCTTGGCATCGGTGCTCGGCTTGACCTCGATGCTGGCCGTGGTGGGCTTTTGAAGAGATGTTGACTGGGATATGGTGTTTGTGGAAGGCTGTGTAGATAAAAAAAAAAAAGAGACAGAAGTAGACAGCTATAGATGTGGAGGTGTATTGTGCTGACACGCTCTAAACTCTTGAGAATCTAAAAAATGATCCAGAGGTGCTGCATGTGAGAACACAAATGTCTCACATTCTACTGGGTTTCTCCTGTTAGCCCTAAATACTAATGCCTGAGTGAGCAATGTAAGAAGACAGCAGGAGATCGTCCAGAGGACTTACTCTGGAAACAAAAAAATCTGAGGATAACAAATACACATAAAAGACCCCGACAGACATGTCAACCAGGAAAGATGATGAAATTTGAGAGCATCTGAAAATGTGAATATACGTCTCGTCCTGCCTCATGTCTGAAAACAGCTTCGGTGGGGATGAAGACAAATTATTTCGAAGCACATGCTGTTCTTTTGTTTACAAATCTGGTGACATTTTGTGCAGGGGCCTGTCATCCTTGAAGATATCACTTCCCTCAGGACAAATGCTCACGGTAGAATGAAGGAGCCAGAATAGTGACAATTGATTTGCAGCAACCTTTTCTGCTCAGGGGAAAATTTCACAACAGCATCACAGAGCCACTGGAGCCTTTCAGTGTGGCTTTGGTACTCTGGTCTTACCTGTGCCTGTAGTTTTTGAGTTACTGAACTCTTAAACGTGTATTTATCTTTGTAATGAAGCGTTAGTGCACTGATATTTCTGCTAGATCGCTCTCTACTAACAGGCCTGTTGATATCCTACACGATGATGCTGATGTTCTAGAAATAAATAAATAGTATTTTTAAAGAAACAACTCAACAGCTTTTATGGAGTTTTAAGCTGCTTTCAGACATGCAATAAACTCCGGATAATCCTCTGACATTCTCCGGAGGGGCTGTATATGGGAACGCAAATGTCTTTCTCTATTTTTTCAGCCAGCCCCCAAGTAAAAATGTCCGAATGAGCCACAGCAGAAGTTCGTCCACAGGATTCACCGCAAGCGAATGTGATCACTGCAGCAGAATTAAATGGATACACCCTGCACCACCTCTCATCTGAACGCTCTGTCTGAGTGGAGAATCTCCTGCTGCACTGTTCATGCATGAAGGTCTGGTTTGATATTCAAAAACAGCTTTACTTAGTCGTTGTTTTAGTGGATTTTTGTCAGTACCTGTCTGTATCTTGTTGTTAACTACCCTATTTTGCCTTTGGGACCAATACAGTTGGATTGAATTGGATTTTTGATTGTTGTTTGTTAGCCACAGCAGGCATTCATGTAGGAACATAAAAAGGGGTTAAATGGCTTCGCCGCAGAATATTTTTCTTTTTATCTCGATCACTTCAGTTCCAAAATCCAGTGGCTGCAGCGACTCCTGCCCAGGGGGCTCACATACTTTCTCTCTTCCTTCACCTTCACTGATGAAAATGTTATGAGGGTCAGAATCCCATTGTCAAAAGATACAAGGGCAAAGGGGAAATAGTCCATTGCCTGTAAATTCACCTCTGATAGTCTGAGCTGTAGGGAAATGAGAGCTCCAAACCAGGCTTTACTTTGACTGCTCTGTCTGCCTCTGTGTGTGTGTGTGTGTGTGTTTGTGTGTGTGTCTTGTTAACAGTAGGGCGGTCAAGATGCTGGGTACCCCCAACTGAACAGTCAGGTCTAATTAGTCTCGGTAAACCATGACCAATCCAGACTATAGATAGCATCTGAGGCAATTAATGAAGTGCTGAACTGGAAGACTGAACTACAGGTGGTTGTTTCCATCGACCTCACCCCATGCTGTCCTCCATCACAAACACATAAACATATACCCACACTGCAGACAGCTCCTTTCACGTGCATATTAACTGGCTTGTGTTTGTGTGTGAGAGGGTCTGCGGGTATTAAACCTTTTATATTTTTCATCTTTTTGATATAACTTTAGTATCTGTTTACATTACACAGGGGAATTAATAGGCTGAAATCCCACAATTCACTCAATAACATATAAATACATATATTTAAACAGTATGCACTTTGGTTTTACACTTCCTCTGATTCTCTGATTTTGAGCTGATATCAACATTCTTCACTTCCACAAAATCCTCTAAATCCACCTCCATACAATCATTCACCTTTTCTCTACAGATTCTTAATGAAACTCCAATGCAATGTTTGATTTCCCACTTATCTTTGACTTGAGGCTAATTAGATTTTTTCCAGCCTTAAGTTTTATTTTGATTCCTTTTGTTCTTTTTCATCTATCTATCTTTATAAAAGGATTGTAAAGAAGAGATTTATCGAAAGAGTTTAAAATCTGCTAAAGATCAACATGTAAATCACTATTTCCTTTCTACCAAGGCTGCCACAGTTAATCTTGGTCAACAAGGAATTTAAAGGCTGCAACCTTTCTTTACTCAGGGGGCTCACATACTCTGCTGTGAACGTTTTACTAAATCAATTTATTTGATGACCAACTACAGATTTTTAGACACATCGTTGCAGCTCTTCAGAGGCGACTCCTTAAGTGGTAATGGGGGTAATGAGGGAGGCGGTGGTTGTGCTTCATCACATGTCAGACGGAAGCCTTTGCATGTAGACTCTGTTCAGGCTTTGTATTAACAACTGAGGTATTAGATAACAAGTCAACAGCTTGAATGCGTATCCTGTGGCCACTTGAGATCAGATCTCAAGGAAGGAACTTACTAAAAGTTACTCTTTTATTCTTGATTATTATTTAGTCATGATAATATGGGGTTCTAACCTGTGTACTTTAAAAAGTATTGCTGGATATTGTAATAATATTATTTTGTGTACAATGGATGTTAGAATGTTGTAATCAAGAGTTTCCTCTCTCTCTATAACAAATGGACACCAGTGTGCAATGTTTCAAGCATCAACCAACAGTTTTAACATTTTAACCTGGGAAATAAATGTTGATACATCTTGGACATTTAAAAAAATGAGTTACCTTTCTGGTGTCTGCTAGCTTTGGTTTGGCTGCATCCTCTTCATCCACCTTGAAGGATTTTTCCACATTCACTTCCTTGTTGGGCTGCAAGAGAATTTTAGAGAAGTTGACATAAATATTTTCAGCTTCCTGACAAAAAACCTGCTGATAATAGACTGCCAACATTCAGAGAAGAGCCTATCCTCAGTGACAGCTTATCTTCTATTTGTTTGGACCAGTGCAGTTGACTGACACTTCAACACAAGTCGCTGCACTGAAAGGGGATTTGAAAAGATGAAGTTAGGTGATAAGACATCTGTGTGTCAACAGGGAGTTTACCACGTCACAGATGGTCAGGCAGTGGTTGTCAAAGTGGGAATTGTGGATCGGTGCTCGAACAAAATGTGGTGCCAGTGACAAAGAAACCATGGGAATAGCAGCTGATGCCTCAAACAACCTTGTGTGAGATTAAAAATAATCCTGAATGATTTTTAATCTATTAGGATTGACTTTCAACATACGCAGGCAGCAGCAGCTATAAAAAAAAAAAAAACTCAAAGACTTAATAAAGATTACAGGTTGATTAGCTTAAACGGTTGATATGATGTGTGTAAAGCAACAGAGCAAGACTCTCCTGAAATACAGGGAACCACACTGACTCCTGCTAAACTACAAAAATCTCACAATGTAGAGTGAAGTTACAGAATGAGGTTTCCTTTCCTTCAGACAGCAGCTTTCTGAGGGCACATTAATCGGACTAAAGCCAAATGTTTAATTCTATGTTATTGAGTCAACATCAATAAGTTACAGAGGATAAAATGTGCTAAGATGTTTGCCTTTTATTTTGACTCTATGGAAAAAATGATCAATTCTGACTAAATTCTCATTGTGCATGAAAACAAAAAACCAAAATATGGAGGAGAAAAAAAGCTTTGCTAAGAGATTAGTTCAGTGTCTAACAACATAAGCATTTTGCCAACTGGCACTGGATCTGGAATGTTACCATAATTGAATATACACGTGTGGACGTACAGCATCTGACAACCCACCTACAATTTGTGACACGCTATCTAATCTCTCAATATCAGGATGTTTACATGCCCACTAATATTCCACTGAATTTGATGTTAGGTTTGGATATTCTGAATTTTGCATTTTTCCCAGAAAGATGTGGGATGTGTTGGTATTTTTGGAGCATTCCTTGGATGTGTATTAGGTTTTTTATCACAAAGAAAAGTCTACATTTCTGGATGGGAAATGCACAACATTTAAAAAATATTATAAAAGACGTAGATTTCAATTGGATTTTGGATATGTGCAAATCTGGCAAATCTGGTGTTTACAGTCAAATAAAAAAGCAGGAGGAAAAACTGGGATTAAAGTTATTACATTTTTGTTCCTAACATCACAAAAAGTATAACTTACATAACTATAACTTTTATACTGACTTGTGATGACACCCTGATGTAGAGCCTGCCACCCCACAATCCTCATAGGATAAGTGTTATAGTTAATGAATGGATAGATGTAGATATCAGGCTTCCAATAGGCCGGGCATAGCAATAACTGATGTAAGATATCACGAGGATACGACAGACCAAGAGCTCAGGATATAAAATTAATAGACTGCAGATATCGACATGTCTGGAGATTTCTCTTATCATTTTGAGCCACAGTGTGTGTTTGTGTGTGAGTAATGCTCACCGACTGTCCTCCACCGAACTGGGCAGGCAGCCTCCTGCCAGGCATCTTTGGTCTGCTCGCAGTGGGGTGAGAGAGCTTCCCTGAGGTAGACGACAGGTCATCAAAACTCATCAGATCTGCTGAGGACAGATGAGACAGAGATGCAGACAGAAGAGGAAGAACATGAACAAGACAACATTCGGGACATTTCTGCCATGACTGAAGGAAGCATCCACAACTTAATTGACATTTGTGACATTACATTCACTTTGACTGAAATGTAATTGCTCGTGCGATGGTTTAAGATCAAGCAGTGTAGAAGAAAATTCAGTATTCTCATATGCTGAAGTGAAATGTTCACCAAGCAGACAAAAGCTGCAGTTAACATACTTTTGATTAGGAAAATATTGTAGAGAAACACAAATCAGTTATTATGATAAAGATAATTACTACAATGGGATAATTATTTCCTGATTGTTTTTTTCCCCTCTGTAGAATAAAGAAGGGTTAACGAGGTAACTGATCTCAGTCCTTATTTGGCCGTGTGCTGAACAAATAACTCATTTACATTCTTTGCTCCTGTTGTACCCCTAAGCTCCAATTAAATTATTTTTCTTTGGCCTGAATGGGAGTGGTGTTGTGCATTCTTATGCCTTTGTCATGCTTTGCTCTATAGTAAAATTTGAATACATACAGCAATGTGTCAGCATTTACTAATAAACAAGTGGGTGCGTCTTATTAGTTTTTTTCTGATGTTGTACTGAAGATGTCTTACAGAAAAAAATTCAACAGAGATAGCAGAGTTGGAGCTTCTTTAATTCCTTTGTAAATTAAAACAGAATATTTTTTTAAAATCTGGACAGCACATTCTTCTTAAAATACAAAATGTAGGAATAAATGCCTGGGTCTTTTTGCAGTATAGGGAAATTAAGGGCCATTGTAAGAGAATTGAGGACAGGGGTGGTGACCGTTCATACTCCTTCTCCTTCTGTCGCTAAGTAACAAGGATTATGGTGTATGCCCAGAACGGAAAAGTGGACAGAATTGTATGTATTTTTCCACAAGAAATGCACAAAAGTTGACTTATGGTCGAAGCCAGTGGGCATATAGTTTGCAAGGGCATGCTCATGATGATAAGAAAGAAGGATCTTGAGCATCGTTACAGCTGGAAACATTTAGATTAACTGGATGAGTTCCAATCATATGCTTTTGATTAAGTTAACTCTTCAGTGGAGTTCACTGGTGTCCAAGCATGGACAGCTTACACAAGACAGATCAAACCAACAAACAAATAATAAAAATAAATAGTAACAGAAAATACCCTTGGAAGAGGAAACAAATAAAGGTGAGGTTCCTCTGCGCAAACTGTTTTGGCTAAAACCAGCTGCAAGTACCCTCATTATCATCACTACCATCTGACATCAGACACCTCACCGAAAAGCAGCAATGCACTTTAGACATCAATGTGATAGATGTTCAATAATTTAGTATGGCCCTAAAAATAAAACAATTCCCTTAATAGGGAAAAAGTTCTCCAACCCTGATTTGGTGTATAAATGAAGCTGCTTGTGTGTTGTGACTTAAAGTAAACACAGATGTTGTTTATGAGAGTGCGTCACTCTCACAGTGAAAAACTGCTATGTAACAGCACTTTGCACCTACCCAGTGTTAAACTGCCACTGTCAGAGAGCAGTGCCTGTGATTGCATTTTGTGTGATTGGATTTTCATGTTCCATGGCCATGTGTCTCAGACTGACTTTTAGCAGTGCTTTACCACCAACACAACAAATCCTTCACAAACACTCTTGTAAAATCCCTTCAGGTCGGCTCTATTCAAACTATATGCTTTATTTTCTCTTTCTGCCTTCAGTTCAATTTAAAGAGATTGGTACACAGAAAAATTTAAATGCAGCCATCATCTACTCATAACTATGCTGATGGATGGCTGTGTGAAATGTTCGAGTCCACAAAACACTTCTGGAGTCTCAGGGACAAACTATGTTGCAGCAGAAGTCATTGAATATGAATGTCAGGACTTGCGGACACTTGGATGAAACCAAACGAGCAGTTTGGAGGCTTGTTTTGTTTTTCTGTTGTTTTATTACGTCTGAAGTGTAGGTCACCATCAACTTCAATTGTCCTGGATTCTGCTGCGACGCTGTTTACCCCTGAGAATCCAGCGTTCTGTGGACTCAAACACTTCACCCAACCAATGATCAAGACTCCTGCTATAAATCTGGCAAAACAAACTTTTAACTGTACATACCCATATCCGAGGACTTGTCCCCCCAGTCTCCAGACAGTGTTTTCGGTTTGGTGGGCAATAATGGCTCAAAGTCAGACCTTGGTCTTATGGAAGGCACCTCTCCATTGTGCCTGCAAAAAAGGAAATAAATTGGAAGAAAAATGTACAAGAAACCAGATGAAATGAGTGAACTCTAAGTAATCTGTGTCCTACAAAGGCATTGGTAATTACTATGTAGTATGTATAATAGACCCTGTCCTTTGTGTAAAACGCTATTTCCTAAGATTGCTGCCATGTAAGTCTTTATGTGAAATTATCTATACCAGAGCTGTATGGACTGAAAAGCTCTGGATGTTTGTAGATAAAGATGTCGGCAGTGTTCAGATTGATGAAGAAAAACATAAAGAGGTAGAAGACACAGGGATAATAAGACTTACTTGAGGTTTGGTGAGGGAGTGAGAGGCTTGTCGGGCCTCTTTGGTGGGAGGCTTCCCTGTCGGCCTTTCCCTGGAGGAGGGATCGGCTTCTTGGGCGGGACCACAGGCGCTGCAGGCTTGGATGGTTTGTGATCTGGCGTCGGTTTGTCAACTAAAACAGAGAAAGAAGATTTGAGTGGAGAGCTGTAGAAGGGAAAACACACAAAATAAAACACAAGAAGTATAGGAAGAAAGAGTGAAATTTAGAGCCTAGTCTAAACATTTTAAATTAAAATATTGCTTAATTAGTCAACACGAGTCATTTCGCCATGAAAACATTTAAACTGACAAAGCTGAGTTTCGCCTTTCACCTGGAATCATGGTTACTACTACAAACAGTTATCGAGAGTGACTGAAATCAATAATTTAAAGTCTGGGTCACAAAAAATCAATTTCTTCCCAGTTTATATGGTGATATTTTGTTCTATCTGCAGTTGTTCTTGATGAGGACCACAATAATTTACATCTCAGAGATCTAAAAATGATGAAATGCTGCAACACAGCAGTAGGAATATATGAGATGACTGTTAAAACGTTATGGCTGCGAAAAAAGAAAACACTGAACCTCTTCAATCTGCCTGTCAACCAGTTTACCCACAGCCTGATCTTTGTGTCAATGGATAAGACGAATTCTAACATGGTTAACTGAGAAACACAAAAGTTTCATGACATTCTTTTTGCATGACTGAGGTTTAAGAGTTAGGGGATTGGTTACATGAAGTATGAAGCTATGGTTTAAACATCCTGTCAAGCTTCTGTGCCGGTGAGGGAAAAAAAAAAAAAAAAAAAAGTGTCAGACAGAAACATCACATCCGTGCAGAGTGCTGAGGAGATTGTGACCTTCCTCAAATCAATACATGAAATGTCACATTTTCTTCTATAATTATCTTTTTCCAAATCAGAATTCTGCCAGACGTCACACAAGAGGAACAAGGTGCCAAATTGCACCTTGTTCCTTTTGTGATCTTACTCTTTGTGAATGTTTTTGACCTACTGCTGTGAAAACAATTTCCCAACTGGGATCAATAAAGTTCATCCGTCTATCTATCTATCTATCTATCTATCTATCTTAAGTAGCAGTGAAGTTAATTACATTTTGGGCTTCAAAACACTTAAAGGTACAGTGTGTATAATTTAGTGATATCTAGTGTTGAAGTTGCATGTTGCAGCTGAACACCCCTCACCTCACCCTCTCCTTCCAAACATGAAAAAGAACCTGTGGTGAACTTCAGTTGTCATAAAAACTCAAAAGGTGTTTAGTTTGTTCAGTCTGGACTAATGTAAAAAACATGGCGGCCTCCGTAGAGAGGACCCCCTCGATGTAAATATAAAGTATTTAAATATAAAGTATTCAAATATAAAGGGCCTTTTCTGGGCTAAAGAAAACTACAATTCATACAATTTAGATGAAACAAATTAGTGAAAACATCATGAGGATTATTCTACATTAAATTTCTGCCAATAGATCCCTTTCACACTGCACCTTTAAGAGAATGGAGACTGAATAACTGAAATCAGACGCTATCACACATTTATTTTCTCCAGCTTCATCCTACCAATCACATGTTCCACCCACTAACCAAAACAACAAGAAAAACTAGCTGGCTCCACTATTCAGACCTTGTTTTTAACGGTAGACTGTGAATTTTCCAAATAAGCAGCTTCAGTTTTATAAAAGGCCAAAGTGAAGAGAAAAACAGTTTTTAGACTGCACAGGTGTAGTGGTGGTGTAGTGGTGGTGTGGTCTCTCGGTGGTGTGGTCTCTCTGGGCTGCCCCCCCCAGCTCCCTCTCTCTCAGTTGTTACAGAAAGCAGTTGATTGTTGCTCTTGTATGCATCAGTCTATTCGTTAATTATTGTTTGCCTTAAAAATAATTTAGAAAAGACAGCAGGCTGTTTAAATAACTCAATTTAAAAATATGATTTGGTTCTTTTCAATACTTAGCATGGATTTATTTATCTAGCCTCATTAGAGTGTTTTATTTAAATATGACAACACAATATATTTGGAAGATACAAATATAGGGTTAGGGTAAGGTTAATATATCTGTGAGCAATTTAAAAATGCATCTAATTAAAATTGTTGTATAATGATTTAATAATATAATAATCCGCAGATGCCGTAATTAGCTGTTCTTCCAGAGCACAGCTGTAGTGTGAAGTTTTCATGTTACCCCTATTTATGTGTGGGTCCCTTCACATTAAACTAAAGTTAGTCCTGTTAGGAATCTAAGAAAAGATCTAACATCCTTGAAGACGCCCTGAAAGACAGAGGAAGAAGAGAGGAGGCTGAAACTGGCGAGAGAGTGCAAAAAAAAAGCGAAAGAACAAAAAACGGAGCTGTACAACAAAGTTAGAAAGAAGAGACACGGAGGCGTCTAGAGTAGAGGAGCAGGCTAACCGATGGTAACAACACTAATCACCTAAGTGAAGACGTGAGGAGGAAACAGAGAGTGAGTGGGCACATGCAGCTGCACATGTATCTGCACTTTCAGATCCAAAGACACCAGCTTTTTAAATACCTTTATTTATTGATGGGTACCTTATTCTGCCTTAAGCCTCTAGTTGACAAGAATAACATTTTATTTCTATACAAAATATAAACTTACCTATTTCACTGTCTGATTCAAATCATTTATCACCTGAGCATGTGATTTTCTCATTTATCAACCTGCTTTTTGAAAATAGTTTCATTTCACACACCAAAAACGGTCCAGCAAAAAAAAAAAATCTAATGGAAATTGCAGAAAATGTGAATCAATATTTTCAAATTCTATTTTGAGATTGCCATACTTTTTTATTTCCGACACAGGAACAGAAAACGGACACTTTATCAATGCAATGAACCCATTCGCTGCTTTTTTTTTCTAGTTATATATATTCAATAAAGGAAGTTGTTTGTTCAACTCTCAGGGTGAACATTTGTCAATTCAGACAGTGATGTGATGCATGTGCTCTAAATGCTGCATGTATTTTGAATGTGGAAGGGAGGCTTGGCATGCACTCGTTTCATTCGAGGGGATAAACTGTCACTGACATATCGCATGAGCTCCAAGTTAAAAAAGGACATAAGAAAAATAATCAAGAATTACATGCTTCAATGGCATTGGGCTTTAATAGCTGCTGGGCTGAACTACATATTAGCAGAAAGCGAGGAAGGGAAGATGTTGTTCTGCTGTGATGATGGGTGCACCCAGGGAAATCAAGAACATGTCTGCAGATTAAACTGAATTCAAATGACATTTCCTCTTCAGATGATGTAACATGATGACTTACATTTATACAGTAATGTGACTAAATAACTAAGGAGCCTCAGTCTACTTGTTTTGTGCTGCTTTTGTCCTCGTTGACAAGTCATTTTCACATAATGGTACTGTAGGGATACTACATGTTTAAACACCATGAGGAGCAGTTTACATTCGCAAAATCAACATCGAAAAATTACATTTTAATGTAAAGGTGCAAAAGATGTGACACCGATGCAGCAGCTTAGTCAAGTTCTTGCGGAAACGCATACACCCACACCCCCACACACACATAATTCACTTATTGACATAATGCGTTCTCTAGGCATTTCTTAACCTCATCCATTACAACTAAGTACAACTAACAACCAAACTGACACTTACCTAAACCTATTTTTAACCTGAAGATTGAAGACTTGAGGACCAGCCAAAATGTCCTCACCCTATAGCTTTATAACTCCAACTGGTCCTCACAAAGATAGGAGTACAAATGACAAAAACACACAATCCCCAGTGAGATAGAAACTGCATTGACAGTATATCCGTCTTTTTCAAACCAGCAACGTCATAACCGTGCTCGCCTCAACATGTGATGAGATTAGATAAGACGAACTGACTGACCTCAGGTAGGAATGCAATCATAGAACAAATCAAACTCTAAACAAGTACACACCTTGTTCTAATAAATAATAAAGTAAAAAAATCCATAAAGCACGTTTGACTCTAAAAGAAGAAAACATAGGACTAATTCCCACAAAAAAAGGACCTATACAAAAATGGTTAAATAGCAAAAACATGCAAGTACATCTGAAATTACTAAAACGTGCTAAATTAATGGTCAAATATGCAACATGGAGGCTGAAGTTAGGCTGATTAAAAAACAGGAAACAACAAGTAAAAGCTGGTTTGGTGAATCATCTCCAGATGACAAGGACGAGTCCTTTGTCAGCGGCGGTTTTCTTTCCCTGATAGTTTTCCAACTGAAAGGTGACTTTACCTTTACTCCACTAGCTGCAGCCTGCTGTGGTGCAGTATTGTTGACATTCACCTTCCTCAGTGGTGCTGAACAATTTGCCTTAAGTTTTAATGCTGCATGAGTGCTGGGTATAAAAAAAATAATTTGTATTCTGCATTTTAAAGCCACATTGGGGCTAACTGCCCTGAATCCACAGTGATGATATTCTTAAGAAAGCAGTGCTGGAGTTACACAGTGCACAATGGCCGTGGAGTTAACGGCTAAGATTGCAAATGCTACAGTGTCCTGAGTAAAACACAACTGTATACTGTGTTAATGTGACTGTGGGCTCTTCTCACTGTGAGAAGATCTGAAAAGGGAGCAGCGGTTGCCACCTGAGATAATGTCCAAATCTTAGTGAACCTTAGAGAGCAAATGTATGAATAAATATGGTGAAAGCAGGAGAAGAAGGAGAAGAAACGAGGCTAAAGACGGAAACAAATTTGGCCCAGGTTGAGTGTTGAGTGCAAGGACCAACAGAGCATTTGAAATCTCCCCAAAAAATGTGAGTAACGTGTGAAAGAAAGCAAAACTGTGAAAGTAAGGAAATAAGAGAATGAGATGAGACAGGGAGGGAGAAAAATGAAATGATCGTACCTCTGTCCTCAGTCCTGATGGGATGAGGTTTCTTGTCGGCACTGGGAACCTCGGGTTTGAGAGCTGAGAAACGAAACATGGTCCACAGAAAGTCACTTATCTGTCTGAACCGAAGGGTCAAAGACTCAACAGACGAGAAGGAACACACACTTTCACAGGAACAATAACACACACACAAAAAAAAAAAAAAAAAAGAAAGACAATTGCCCAATGATCCGTTGACCCGTGCTCACCCATCCACCGGCGGTGTGTTGGACACACACACTGCGTCTCGGTGCAGCAGCAAGCAGAGAACTGTGCTCTGTCATTTCTGCAAAAAAAAAAAAAAAACACACAGCGCCCTCCACCAGTTTTTGCGGAACAAACTATTACATAGATAGATTCATTCTATATTTCTAACTGGCACAAAAGAACCCACTGTGCCGTGCAAGTGCACCTATGCTATATTTGTGGTTTGGCTTATGAGATGTGTTGAAGAATCTCAACACAGACAGGAAGTCGTGCACCGTCACTGTCTCAGAAACAGACTACAAAACAATGCAGAGGGAGAAGGATACAAATGCAAATGATGTGTTACTTCCTGTGCAGCCAGGAAAACAATGATGCAAGTGTGCATTCTGCAAACTGTAGTGTCAAGCACTTTTACACAAGCATAGAACCACCATGAAGAAATGAGGGCAGTGATGCCTTGAATTGTTTGATAAGATGAGAAATGTTTTAGGATTTTTTAGTTTTTGATGTTTTTTTGGAGCAGCTGTATTTGGAGTTGGAGCTCATTAATATTGAAGAACAAATGCTTATATTGCAAATGTTGAAGCGCAGGCGACAGAGAAGACGTTTGCGGAGGTGGTCTGYACGACGAGGAAGAAAGACCGGAAAAAGCAACTGCCGGAACTTACGTTCTGAGCGGACCAATCACAGCGCTTGCGGTCCGCGTCAACGCGACGCGTAGTTAGGATTTTTTTGGAGGTGCGCGCCAGGCTACGGGGTAGGGGTCCGCGTCGACGCAGAAGCATAAACTAGGCTTATGTTTGAGTACCAGGAATTCTGCTGGTAAACCACACATTTGAACTTAGTGTAATTACATGTACACTAAGTAATGTGATTATTGAGCATTTTCAACAGTAATCTGATTTCTGACGTGATGCAAACAACAAACACTGTTTCCTTTATAAGGTTGAGACAGGGGGCTCCAACCTTCTTTGCTCTGTGAACTAATTTTACATTGACACTGTTCTTTGCTGAATGAGCAGGATAATTGTTTGCTACTTCAAACCTTTAGGAGTTTTGTGCTCTTGCTTAATTCTCCCATCTTTGTCTCAGTGCTAAGCTGTTTTTACACATTCACTGCACCCCTGAACCTAGCTAGACATTCCCCAGATGAGTTGTATGTATGAACCATAGACTGTATATAAAGATGTCTCAACATCCTCCCACTGTCAATCTTCACATTTCAGCCTGTTCTCATATCTAATAACTAATTAACACCAAACTTGCAAGAAACATGAGCACTGAACATTTCTGAGAAAGATTAATATGACATGTAGTTTGACTTTTTAGTTTTGTCTGTGTCCCATACACTAAGATGAAGAAGTTCAGATTTATGATTTGGCTTCACATCGTTCATTTTTCTTCCAAGTCTTTCGGAACGCAAATGTCAGAGTTGTTTGAACCAGATGTTAAATACAATTTCCCCTGCTACTCCACAGTAAAAGTAGTAAAAGTTAGTGGGATATAAATTTGAACTGATGTGCAGTCATTGACATTTCCATCATTTCTCCTGCACGCCCCAACCAGGCACAGCAGCTGTTAAAGCAGAACATTTGAGATGAAACAGACGATCTCTGGTGGTGTGAACAGGGAACTCTGGACCGGCGGCTCCCAGGTTTTCCCAGGTTCATATAGGTAAACAGATTTAGTCATAATCTAAATTATACACAGCAGTCTTGCTCTGTTCAACAGGTAGTCTCTTTTGCGTTGTTTGATAACTGATCACACAGCATCATAAGTGAACATGGTGATATTTGTGGAGAAAACGTTGATCCCAGAACCAACTCCTAAAATCAGCCTTGTTGGAATTTCTTTTAAATAAGAAAATGACCATGCAACATTTGTGCTTTGGCTAAAATGTCAACAATAACATGCATTAGAGTCAGAGGCCCGATCAATGTACCTCTGCATATCACACTAAATATAAAAGTGTGCTTTGTTGGAGGGCAAGAACGCTCCACTGCAAGAGCCATCGAGCAGCAGCCTTCCCTCACGCTCACCACTGAGTTGATAAGATTTAATGAGCTGAAGGGTGTTAGCTGCTTCTTACCTATGTTTTTTGATGGGGGAGGTGGCTTCTTTGGTTTCTGAGAGGAAGAGAAAAAGAAAGTAGGTCAGTCTGACATCTAAGTCGATGGCTCAATAATGTGCACTAACAACTACTATCACATCAAAGAAACCGTATAACCTGAAGGAAGGAATGGACGACAAATTAGGTTTGGTCTAAAAAAACGAAAATCTAATCATATCAGAGATTAAAGCCCTGAAACTTTTGTGGCATGAGAAAAACAAATTCTGTAGTTTTTTTATATAGAGCTGAACAAGAATCAAGCATTTTTATATAAATCTAAAACTCAGTAATTTCGGACCTTATACTATTGACTTTAACCATTCTTTCATGTCTGTGTACCAAAAAAATAGAATTTTAATAAATACTAATGCTAATTTGTCATGCATTTCTTTCAATTTGTTTAAAAAATAAAGTTTACTGTGTTGCAATACAATGACTACTGGCAACAATGAAATATCCTGTCACAGGATAACTAAAGCACAAATCAATACTATTTATATTAGAAGGAGGAGAGTGGCCGAATATTCAAGGGTTGTGTTTGATAGTCAAGTAAGCACAGATGATCCTGTGGCGAAACTAGTCACGCAACAAGATAACTTGCTTCACGTCGGGTCTGAATGCGGCGAAGCTAGTTTTAGATCTGTTGCATTTAATCCTGCAGTTAAAGTACTTTTCCTCTGTAGTTTGTGGCTTTTTGACATTTACTGACTTTAATTTTCTGACGATTTTCATTTATATCAAGGCTGTGTGAAATTAAGTTATATCTATCCTCGCTAGAAGGCACCAGAAATACAAGTTGTTTAAACTTATGACTAATATTTCACACTGGTTAATAGTTGTATCTAAGATGATACACAGCCACAGGTCAAGAGCTACAGCTGCATCCCCGGCAGACAGCAGTGCTCTACTCTGCATATTAAAACCCACATGTTGTACAACAGCAGTGTGAGTGGAGAGTGGGACAGATCTGCTCCCTCTCCCAAAACCTAAACAACCTTGTAGCCTTGTGATGTAGAAAATCTAATTAAAATTTAATAGCTGACTACTCTAAATTGAAATTTCAGTTTAATCAACAGGGGAATTATTTGTGAGGAACATCCTTAACAATATCATAGTAATCTCTGCACAGCAAATAGAGCCCCAGAGCCTGCAGGGTATATAATCAGCGTTGATGGGTTGACTGCTGACAGCCATTAAATAAGCAACTCATTTACATTCCAATCATATTATATAAGCCCAGTGGGTCCGGCTCGACGCACAGTCACATTCACAGGATGCGAGTTCTCCTGTCATTGTACCGTGAGTGATTATCTGCTTCAAATGTTGTCACCTGAGTCGGTATCAGTTTGGACTGACGACTACATGTTTGAAAATATAAAATCCAGGGGTGAGAAAGAACTAATAAACTGCACTGTCTGCAGTCATATTGCATTGTGGGTAATATAGGCACAAGATTTTGAAAAGCAAGACAAATGCATGGTGATAACAACTAGTTCCCAGAGGGGATTTAAAGAATCAGGGCGACAGATCTCTGTACTGCTATGAATCTCGACTTACCTTCTACATTAAGACAACTTGTAGAGCTATGTATAAAACAGTGTTAGACTTAGTAAGTGTTCATTTGGTAAAAAAAAAACGATGATGAGAAATATTCACTTGTTGACCTGTGATCATGAAGAATACAAATCTTTTTATCCCTAATCAGAAATGAACAATTGCATGACTGATGGAAGTTATCCACTAAATTAACTACTGTCAGTTGTAATTCGTTCTTACTCAACAACGTGCATTCATTTACAGACAATTGTTTGACCTGCTGCACGACCTCTGAAGAAGCATCTTGCATTCAGTAACGTTCTGTCTCTCTGTTCTCGTTATCTCATGAGGGTTTGCTAGCTTCATTATTCAGAATTACCTCTCACATACACAAATGACACCAAAAATCATTCACATATTATGTTGTAAATCAGTTGTGTATATGAGGGCATTTCACCGGTATGTGTGAGAGTGAAAAGTGAAATGTTTTTATGTATTTAACTGAGAGTCTAGAATCATGTACAATTAGAGTTAAAGGTTCAGTGTGTAGAATTTAGTGACATCTACAGGTGAAGTTTCATATTGCAGCTGAATACTCCTCATCTCACCCTCGCCTTCCAAACATGAAGGATAACCTGTGGTGAACTTCAGTTGTTATGAAAACTCAAAAGGTTTTAGTTTGTCCAGTTTGGACGACAGTAAAAAAACATGGCTGCCTCCACAAAAAACAAAAAACCAAATCACTAAAATTGGACTGAAGCGAATCAATTTTTGTCGAAAAGAAATCAAGTTTAAACAAAATCAGTTAAAGTGTGTGATCAGGTTTTTGCTTCACTGCAGCAAAACAACAATTATCCTCCTGGTCTTGTTTCATCAGGGGCAACGCTCGCTTACCTCATCTGGCTCCTGCTTAGGGGATGCTTTCAATGACCCCCTGGACGTGGGAGACTGAAACATGAACACAGGGACATATAAAATATAATGATGCATAATGAGTGAAATACATCTCATTACTTTCTTTGGTGAGACCTCAACGTGCTTTAATGTCCCTCACATGAACACGAGGAACAGTGAGGAACAGATACACTTCCACAGTCAGCTCAAACACTGTCAACACAACCTGAAGATCCTCTTCAAAAGCTGCTTCACTGATTATTAAAGATTCCCCAGGAATAAGCTCTTTACCCTAAAAGGCATCTGGCTAATTATTAAGAGGCCTTATTACCGACATGGAAAATCCTTCGTAGGAAATCAATAGAGATTTCTGCATTTGTTATGTGGGGAAGTTAAGCTGTGCTTACAGCTCCATAATAATGATTACATCATGTAAGGTTCAATATGCCAGATGTCAGTTGAAATAAAGCGTTTTAATCATTCTCTCTGCTCACTCTGATCAACTGGCAGGAAAGCCACCACAACACACAGTGTATTTTATAAAAGTATATAAATAAATATAAATAAATAAGTAATACTTCTACATAAAACTGCATTTGATTCAAATTCACAACCAGTTCATTCTGTAAATGTTCTGTATTTATATAGTGTTGATCCAGTCTGAATGACCATACAAAGCGCTTTATAGGTCATTGCCGTTCACACACACATTCATACAGTGCGTCTATGGGCAGCCCTTTTTTCTTTGAGGGGTTCTGAGTACAGTATCTTGCTCAAGGGTGAGACAATGCAGATGGGGAAGACTGGGATCAAACTGCCGACTTTCTAGTTAGAGGACGGCCGCTCTACCCCCTCAGCCCTTTGGGGAATGATTAGATGAAAACAAATTGAAAGACCTGTGTTATTTATGTTGTTCTGTTGCGTAATTACATTAGCCAAAATGTTTCCAGCAATTTTTACATCTAGATAAAGCTGTCATTTTAATCCAAGTCAAACTTCATTTGATCAATGGTGTCATATCTGCTTTGTGCGTGCGTGTGGCTGTGTGCCTGCAGAAGTCAAAGTTGATAATTTATACAGTTTTCACAATGTAATCTTAGATCTTTGTGGTTTTGGTGGTAAATAATTTAACTGAATGAAAGACTTGGAATGTCGGGATCTCAAGTTATTAAAAAAACAAGTTGAGTACAGTTAAGTTACAGCTCAGTTTGCAGCCCTTACCAGACACCCTGTGTCTGCTCAAGAGTGCCAGAGAAACACTGACACTGTTTTCTTTTCACTGTTTGTTTTGCTGAGAGGACGAGCTTTATGAATAATCCCACTACTACTAAGATGCTCCTGAAATCCTCACTGGTTACTCCCATGATACCATAATACTTCATGATTCAGCAGCAGAAAACGACATACATTTCAAACAATGCATCGGTTCTGAAAATAGCTGCATAAGAGTCCACTGAATTCCTTCTGTGATTCTGATCTCACCTCTTTCTCTGTTTCAGAAACCATGACCACAAAGTTGTCAGGAAAGACGCCGTCTTTACCACCGATCTCCCCTCGCCACCAGCCAGGCTCTCCTGTGTCCTGTTAGAGGACCGACAGAAAAAAGAGTGACATCGCTTCAGCAATCAGCTTGTGATTGTATCTATTTATATTTTAATGAAGAAATGTATTTTGTTCTTCTTTAGATCATTTTGACATGTTTTATTAAATAGTTGCCAATAGGTATTTGTTTCTGTATTTTTTTTGTAAAGCTTAGTAAACTGGCACACAGTGCATCAGAGAAAAGTAAGTGGACCAGAATATTTTTGATCGCACAAAGTTTGAAACCCCTAACAAGAAGCAGCTACAGAAGGTAAAAAAAAACCCACCTTATAATCTAAAAGCTGATCTACTGTAGAAGATAGGTGATTTAAAATGTCTCCATTAGTATCAATAGCGGCTCTGGGCAGTAGAGTACAGTACAAACCTGATCCTAACAAGCATTTCAGGAGATTCTAGAAGCATTTCTGCGCAGCCTCCACTAGATGGCGGTAGGTTTCCCAAATAAAATGTATGAATTGTGGTTATACATTTTTTTGGAAACCCTGAGTCATCACTCGTCAAGTACATGTCAGAGGGTGCTGAAGTGAGACCAGCCGAGACGCTCAGATCTGTGTTTCAGCTTGTTGACTTGTAATTGTTCACTCCTTAATAACATGTCAGACACTAGAGCAGAGACTGACAGTCGACCTCTGGATTAAATCAGTCAACAGTAAGGGGGCTTCAAAAGGTTGGAGGTGTAACAGAATGATCCAAGCTAAACACAAGGTGCAAATGTATCATATAAAGAAACTAAAAAGACAAAATAATAAAAAAGGAAAGAAGTAAAAAGAAAAAAAGGTTTCTCTCAGTCACAAATATTCAACTTCTCCTCAAACATAAAATGCCATTAACTCTGAATGTGGTGCAGCACTAGTTAAACTGCATCTTCTTTCCGCTTCAAGATGTTTGTTTTCTCTTGTATGAACCAAGTAAGGATCTTCTGTAAATCACAAAGGGAGCTATAAGTCTGTTTTATTGATTTTCAAACTACCTGAAACGTTCCTTTTAAGGAATAGCCATGACTCAAGCATCATCCCATTTACAGAGCTAATATCATTATCAGTATAATATACCTACTTGCTTGTACAGTCTGTATCAGTTTCAACTACAAACTAAAAGACACAGAAACAAATAAATATTTCTTGTGTCTGTCAGGAGAGGGTGGGGCAGGGCCTGTAGGGGTTGGTAGGGAAGTGTTATTTGAAATCAGATTTTCTCTCTTTCTTTGAAAGCAGTTGTGCACAAAAATGTGCTGATATTTTGACATCTTCCATAAATAAGTTTTTTAGTGGGTGGATAGATCTGTTGCAGATGCACTCGGCCGATAGTGTGGACTCACATTTATTCCAAAAGGCAAGACATCCTGCTGTACTTCTGAAAATAAAGCATGCCATCTTCATTTATTAATTTCCTGCCAATCTCTACCTGGACAAATCCTCTTTGAAATCCCAGATTGTCTGATCACATCTCTAAAGCAAAGACTTATCTACAGGCCGTGCATGGACTGGTCAATGCCAACTGTGTCTTTGAGCCAAATTTACATTATTTTCTGCAGTGGTGAACAAGCACGTAGTCGACGTAAGAGTAAACCTCAGTGATTCCTTCATCTTCTCTGGTTCACGTGTTTGCTGGTGACCCTGAGGAAGGCCATTCTCCACACTGACCTTATGTATGGCACCCGCCCGAGTCAGTCCAGCTGTTCCCATTTCTCATTTCATTTCACAGTTTTAATGCACTGAAGGGCTGGAGAGCTTTACCTTGCTCAGGATGTGGATGAGATCTCCCTCTTTCAGGCTCAGCTCGTCCTCGTTGCTGGCCTCAAAGGCAAATGTGACCTTGCAGTACTCCTTAGCTGAGGAAACCAAAATAGTGGGATCTATTAGGGTGGATCTGCAGATTTAAGGGGGTTACATGCAAAAGCAAATAGATATGCCAACATATACTCAAGCCAAAGATCTTGGTTTATCATGGTATATATGAAAGTCAGCCTATTTCTTAGGAATGTGAAGATCATGTCTGGCAAACATAAACACAACAGCATTTCCAGGTTAGTTCTTGTTACATAATTGCCTTTGATGATGTTACACCTAACACTGGAGCTGGAACAAATGGTAGATCTAAATACAACTAACAAAAGCTCACAAACCATAAACAGGACAAACAGAAAAACTGTGTATCTGTCACAGCGACGGTCTGCTGACATTAAAACCACACAGTTCACAAATCAAATTGTCCTTTACTGTCTTTTACCTTTGCTTTTGCCGTCTCCGTCTGCTCTCTGCAAGTCTGTCATGTTGGGAAGGGCGGGCTTTGCAGCAGATGGTAATGATGGGACTGGCTAAAATGAAGCAAACCATACACATGGAAATGATTCATTGGGCATGGGTGTGAAATATGGCTTCATGTGGAGGAGTCCTGTGTGTGAGGCAGCTCGCGTTGGAGCTGAATGAGTTGAAACTTCTGATCATGAGTGTTATTAAGGATAAATCTTTATTGATGATGCTGTTAATTGAAAGAGTAATTACTGAAACGAAAGGCAAAGCAGTGAAACACGGAGAGGTGCACCTTTCCTGCGAGAAAAGTTACAACTTGTAAGCTGTCACTTACAAGTTGAGTACCATGGTGAGGTGACAAGAAGGATGTTGCATGACCTAGATTCTTTCTACTGCACAGAGAGCGCTAGGTGGATTATGATGTGAGCAGGTCAAAGTCAAATAGAGAGATCTGTGAAAAGCAGAGTGTGGGAGCATGCAACGTGGAAGTATGTAAGGAGCGGAGGAGAGTGAAGGAGGAGAGTGAAGGAAGTCGTGTTAGGGGGTAAACCAGAGAGTGAGGGCTGTTGGGAAGAGAGAGGGGAAAAACAAGCGGAGCATTTCAGAGCAGAGCCATCTAATACAGCAGTGAGTCTGTGTTATTGTTTGCTGCATGTCACTATGTCGTGTCAGATCACTACTGACCTCTGTTATCACATGTGTACATGTCAACAGAGCAGGACAAAGGGTGAAAAGTAGAAACTCAAGATTCAGAATTAAGAGTCAGTGATTAAGTTTACATGGGCAGCAATATTTCTGAGACAAGACATTATTTCAATTGTGATATTCACATGAGCTGCTAATAGAATACGACATTCATTATCCCTGTTTACAGGATACATAGAAAATAGTCTTAATACGACTCATGTCAAGATTATGTCCTACTTCTTGTTTAGACATTATACGTTGTCCACTATATTGTGATTAAGACGTATACATGTCTACATTATGTGTCGAGGATCAGCATACTCTTAAAGTATGACCTTATTCAGGTTAATCAGAAAACGCTGTTTACATGCAGTATCTATTCAGGCTATGGCTTAGTTGGGTTCGTATCAGAATATTGGTGTCGATGTAAACATGTCTAGTTCACACTGGACAAAAACGAGACCTGAGAGAAGCAAGATTTAGTCTTAAGTACTATGTCAGGGGAGGTTGTATCCCCTCTGCATTTTGTCATGTTGGTATATGTGCTGATGGCAGGGAAAAGGACAAACAACTGTATTCACAACAAACAGAACCTTCACAGCAATCTGGGTTTGTTCCTTCAGTGTTAACAACAGAGCTTTCAGCTAAATGTGTCAGGTCAACTCAGGAAAGAACACATAGGTATATAGATGTAGTAACGCAATGTCATTCAGATTTAACTGAATGACTGAAACTTACAGAAGTTTTACAGAGTTTTTATAAAAGTGACGACAAGAATATGCTTTTAAAATGCATACTTCTATGAGTGTGTGTGTGTGTTCATAAAGCTACATAGAGTTTAACGCACTCAGGTCTGCAAGCAAAACGTATGTGTTTCAAATCAGTACTTTGAATGCAACAGGTATTCATTTCATTAAAGTTCATAAAGTTATGGCACATGTTCTTTCTGCTTTTTGTTTGATTATGACTTTGAAATTTGTTCTGTGTGACCTGTAAATTCCACCTAGTCTCAGACCTGGATACAAGCATCATAAAAACACTATGCAACTTTTTTTGGCATTAAAATAGCAGCTTTGAAATGGTGCAATGACTTGGAATAGGGAGAACTGAGCCACTTCCCTTTCCACTCGCTCTGAATGTCTGTTCCTGCTCTGTAACTTTGATGAGTGGGTACAATCTCCTAAGAGAAGTTTGGAGCTGACTCATGGTCGCAGCTTAATTTACCACGATCAGACCCAGCAAGTTCAAGAGTAATGCTGATTAGAAGTCATTGATTCAATATGAAGTATTCTGAACAGTTTGTTGTGTTTGTTATAGCTGCAGCTCTTCTGGTTAAGTAAACCGAGGATCATGATTAATGTGGCTGCAGAGGGCGCTGTTGCTCAGTAACGATTACATAGTGATGCTTTAATGTCATGTGCTGCTTTGCTGCCTGTGTTGTGGTGCTAAACAGAGAGCTCCTGCAGAGTAACACAATCTATCTTCTCTCTCTCTCTCGCTCTGACCCACGCACTCACTCACACACACACACAAAAAGTGTGATCACACATGTAAACTCCGACTGGGTAAAGACAACAGAATGTGTAAACGTAGACAATATATAGAGAGCCAAAGGAAATGGTGGGGGCGTGCTCACTTTGGCTAGATTCAGTTGGCAGTGTGCGACGTGAATAATAAAGACACTTCTTTACAGTCCAACTAAAGACCCAAATGAACACTGTAAGTGAACATAGTGGAGCTGTGCATGGCTCCCAGGGTGGTGCTGTGGCCGGGCTGTCCACACTGATCAGAAATGAGCTTCGCTTGATCAGGTTCTGCCTCTCGTTTGATTTTAGACAGTGATCAGTCTGGAATCAGGTGCTGAGGTTAATTCCATTACCATCTTATGATAGTTCCTTGAAATATATATTATACAAGGCCAAACCATCATTTTTAGCTGTGCCAATTTCTTCGATTTTATAGGAGGAAACCCTTCTAGACCTTTAGTAAATAAGGACAACTGTTTGTGTAGAGTGCTGCTAACACTCAGTAGATATCTATTATTATTATTATTGTGAAGATTCCACTTATAAACTGCCAAAAGCTGTTATAACGTCTGGGTAAGTCCATACCAAACACTGTTATTATAAAATATAATGTCACATATATATACAGACATATTACAAAGTTTTTCCATGTTCACATCATGTTTGGTGTAGATTCTGAGTTAGCATCACACTTACTCTGTCCTTCTTTTCCTCTTTTTCAGGGCTGGGCAGACGGACCCTAAGTTTGAGCGAACCTTCCCGGAAAATATCTCCGAAGCCGATACCTCGGATTTTCTTGGGCTGAGCAATAACTCCGTTCCCTGAGGCGGCTTGAGGCAATGTGGGGGCGGCAGGGCTTTCCATACCACTTCCATCTGGGGAGCAGAGACGGCACAGTGCGACAGAGGGTGAGTAAATCCACCTGTGTCACATTTTATTGTTTTTCCTTCCTACTGCAATAAAGTGATAAAGTAGAGGATTTGTTCCGGAGAATACACTTGTATCCCCTTTTTGTACACCAGGGGGTGCTAGTATTAGTGTACTATCAAAGATTTACAGCATCAAATCCTGAAAGACAAAAATACTAAAAACTCAGCACTTTCCATGAATGCCTATAGTTTACTACAACTCTTATGGAAAACATTTCATTACACTTTTTAGGTGGCTTGGAGAGCACCACCACTTGTAGGAGAGGATCAATCAGTGCAGGTAAGAGCTGTTAGCTGATTGGTCCTCTGCTTTAAAAGGCAGCAGTGGAGCTGCCTCAGGAGGGACGACGGAGGGCTGAGAGACACTAAGGGCTGAGACGCACATGAGCGGAGCCCACAGAAACAGACTGAGCACAAGTTAATAGAGATGAGGAAAAGCAAGACCCTTGTCTCTGACTGTGTTGGAGAGACCCGTGGCATGGTCAACTGCCACACTGGTGCCCAACGTGGTGCTCAACACAGCCAGAGACAAGGGTATTGCTTTTCGTCATCTTTACACACGTGAGCAAACATAAAGTACCAGCAAGTTCTGCTGGCGACTAGCTTTGCAGCTCAGTCTGTTTCTGTGGGCTCCACTCATGTGTGTCTCAGTCCTCCGTCATCCCTCCAGAGGAAGCTCCACTGCTGCATTTTAGAGCTGACGACCAATCAGCTAACAGCTCTGATCGATCCTCTCGTACAGGCGGAGGTGCTCTCCCAGCCCTCCACAGTACAGAAGTAGCTTCTAGTCATAGATCTAGCAGGCAGACAATTTAGCAGATTAAAGTCAATTTTCCTGTTGAGGCCTGTTTCAACTGGGACGCAACCCGTCCCAACTGCTCCAATTCTGGATTTAATAATGCTTTACCGACAACAGGGAAAACTATGAAATATTTCAACCATAGAATATCTGATATTATAAATTATAAATATATAAACATAGGTAATTAAATCTCTCTGACATTAGCAGTTTGTTAACCTTCCACTAAAAAAAAATATCTAAATTTGCTAGACTCGTTCTACATTGTTACTTATAATCTAACACATTTCAAAAGATGCTTCACACAGATGAAAACCACATTTGAAACTGACTAGAATTAAATAACAAGAAATACTGTCTCTTTGCACCAGCCCTGAACTTTGTTTGCCATCGTGTCAAAGCAAACATTGAAAAATTCCAGTATTCCTTCTCTAGTGTTTTGCCAACCGAGCTGCACCCTTCTTATTAATGAAGTCTGGCTTGTTTTCTGTCTGTGTCTTTACCAGTCTCATCTGCTGCCGTGTCGACTGACTCCACGTCCTCTCCTAAGGCGTCCAGCTCTTTGACAAAGTTGGAGGGGAACAGTCCTGACTTGCCGTTTACGTTACCGTTCCACCAGCCCTCTTCAACCTACAGAAATGGAGCAATAATATTACGTCAACAACAGTTATGTAATTTCTTCATCCCCAACAACTTAATATGTGGTGATTCTTAGCTCCTGTGTTTATCTGTTTAACAATCAGACTCATTTAAATTCCACTATGCTCCCAATGCATGTAATTATGCACATATCCCACAATATTACTCTGTAAAGCCTCTTCATTATCAACCTATTAGCATTAAATAAAAAAGCATGGTGATCAATGTTTTAGAAAATCTGTCTGCAACATTTAATCATATTGAAACATATTAGCACTTTTGACTTTCCACCTACACCCAAAGTGCTCTCTGCTGCTCAAACCTCTCACATGTTCTGACTTGCCGCAACCACAAATAACCTGTTAGGGTATCTTCAGTGGTTAGAAGCATAACATACAGTATGTGCAGTATTACAGTGAAGCTGGTTTAACCTGAACACTGAAAGGTCAGCAAATGAAAAAGCCGAAGCCAGCACAGATGTCACAGGAAAATGAATTCCAATTTACTTTTCAAAAGGAAACCATTAGATTAGACAGGGCACTTAATATACCCTGGTTAGGTTTCTTAGACAATAATGAACTTAAAAAGTCAGCAACGGTGATAAAGTACCTCTTCAATGATGTCTATGACGTCTCCAGTCTTCAGCTCCAGCTCGTCTTCATTCTGCGGCTGATAGTCAAACAGCGCCTTGCACTGTCTCTTCTTAGGCTCTGTGAAAACAAATGAGGCCCGAGAAATACCGGTGAGTCAACCAACCTGCTGTGTGGTCTCACACATTCACTCGTCTGTGTTCTTGTTTTCATCACACAGGGAGAGAGCTCGGCTGTTGTGTATGTGCATGTCAGTGGCCTCCCTCAGTATGTCAAAGGGGTGGGAACTAGGACAGGTGACATGCAAGCAAGGTACAAATCAAAAGGAGTGGGAGGGAGGACGGTTCCGCAGGGTGATCCTTTAGCAGGCAGCAGACACACCCTGCTGAGCAAACAGAGCTACCGATTATAGAAGCAAAAAAATACTAAAGAGCAAATGCTATCAGACTGCTACCAGTTAGTCGCATTCTATGTGAAATACCAGGAGAGAGCGAGAATGTGTGCATGTGTGTCTGTCTCTGTGTGTGTGTGTGTGTGTGTGTGTTCCCAGACTCCCACAATGACCAGCGTCACCAATGACTCCTTCTCCCACACTCCTGCTGACCTGCACTCACTTATAAACAATGATTTCAAACGTTGGACTGAATACTCTTAATAATTAAAAGTTTGTTGCACTTTGAAAGGGTGGACTTGCAGTATTATGCTATTGAAACCTTGTGAATGGGAATCAAATTGATTTGGGAAATCTGTGGCAATACCCAGCCCTAATCAGAATGTACTTAAAGTAACAAAAGTAAAAGTGCAGAATAGCAATAGGATTATAGGCACAGAAGAGGATTAAACCTGATGTCAGATGTGGACACAGTGGAGGACCTGATTAAAATAAGTCTTGAGGGAATTAGCGTGGAGGAGGTTGATGCCAAGGATGTGAGCACCAGTGCTTCTAGTGGTAAAACGTAGTCTGGAGTATGAAAACAATTTTTAAGAGTGTGCTGTGCTGCATCAGCCTGATTTGAGACAGTTAGATTACATGACTATTATATTTAATGTACAGGAGGCCATTTGCAGAGAGGAGACAGTACAGAGGGACAGCTGGTGCTTCAGGAGCCATCTGCCAGATGTTCAAAATGCAAATGTACAGGCATCAGAGCATAGACTGTAATACATCATAGCTTTTTTTCATTGTCACAGGTTTGTTTATTCATCAACTCTGTCAACTCACTCTGAAGAGTTGTTAAGCATCACAGTTGTGGTCCAACAGGATGATCTAGAGCTTCCTTTCACTGATGAGATTTTCTGGAGAAGAAGAGCACATCCCAACTTCAGACAACACATTGACCTGGAGAAGAAAGTTGTCAAAATGGGCAAAACTGTGAGTTTCAAATTCCAATTTTTTTTAAATTGTGCATTGAGTTTTGAGATTGAGACGTCACCTTGTCAAATTGTTGCTTGTAGAACAGAACATTGTTCTCAACATATGTGGTGGCATCAGGACTTCAGTATGGGATGGGAGAGCAGGTCTTCCACTTCTTTTTCAAGGTGAGATTTAAAGACAAATATAAATAGTTTCTTTAGTCATCAATCCCTTTTACTTGTTAGTTGCAGTTAAAAAGATGTCAATATTTTTTCATAGAAAATGTGTTTCACTGATTCCAATAGNACAGAGGGACAGCTGGTGCTTCAGGAGCCATCTGCCAGATGTTCAAAATGCAAATGTACAGGCATCAGAGCATAGACTGTAATACATCATAGCTTTTTTTAATTTTAAAAAAAGTAAAAAGGTACAAATAGATTCTACTACAGAAATATGTTTTTCTAAAATAAAATAAAAACAGACGTCCTTCAGGGTGCTTCCTTCTGGCTGTACAACCATGAACGCAACATGCATGTGTCAGCGGTGACAGGACTCAGGGTGACTTCAAAAAAACTAGATGCTTTGTCAACAAACATTCTTTTTTGTTGTTGTTAAGGACAAGCCAGTGTATGTTTTGTGCATAAGATCACTGCTGAGTTTAATTAAGGGGAAAGGAAACATTCGACAGAATATTGTGACTGGGTGGTTATTCTAAATCTGCAGCTAAATGATGTGCTGAATGCTAAATGAAAAAGTTATGCGCACCGGTGCATCCAATTTAAAAAGTTAGTCTGGAGCCCTGCTAAAGGGGAGAAGACGAAAATAAAAACTGCATTCATGAAGGAATCTTCAAACAAGACTGGACACGGTGGAGACCTGCACACAGAGTGCATGTATATGTTTGCATGAGAGAATACATGAGCTCCCACGCAGCTGACACGGGGAAAGAAATACTACCTGGGGAGCAGTCTTTATCATGCCAAACGCAATATAAACAGAAAAAAGTGTAACATTTTTAAATACTTGTGTTTTCTTCATGTTCCAGTCAATAACAGTTAATTTAGTCTAATGTGCCCAGTTGTGGTAAGAAGTAGGAATGTCACACAAGTTGATGCTAAAATTCCAAAAACATGAAGGTGCTTGTATTTCCTCGGGTCCATGTGATGTTGTGAGCACTGGAGACGTGATTCTTCAGTGTACAGTCTGAAGAGGGCAGTATAGTAAAGCTAAGTTCTGTAGTATAAATTGAAAAATGCAAGAGAAAGACAGCCGACACATTAACAACTACATAAGCACTGAGAAGAGTGCATGGTGCGTTCAAAAAAATGTCGCTCACGAACTAACTGAGTGAAAATGTGACCCTGAAACATTTCAACGGCCACTATAAGAGTTGTCAACTTAGCATAAGAAACACAGGAACATCCTTTATGAAAGGAAGGAGAAAACGCCATCCCAGAATTCTTTGCGGCAGCAACATTAAGAGCAAAACAGTAGTTGTACCTAATTATCACAACGCATTTTGATCTAAATGAGAAAGCACCACTTACAAATCTAATGAGGCTCAAAGTGTGAGATTCAGTTTTTATCTTGATATTAACTGTTGCTGTTGCTTGCAAACAGCTGCCATCTGTAGCTGCTAAGCTCCACACACAATGTTCAAAAAGGCTAACATCTTGCTTAGCTAATAACGCTAGCCACCATTGCCATTCAGTAAAGAAAATATACACACAACCTGAATATAACCTTGACTTTTTACGCGAATATTTTCACAATATTGATCTGTCACCATGTAAGTAAATTTTAAATAATATACTCTTTACGAAGGTGCGTGCGTGTGTGAGTGATAACAACTTTGGCATCAAGCACCCTTGAATTTGAAGCATACTGGTTCCAAACACAACAAAAACAACTTAATCCAAACACAGATACAGCATCGTACTCTTTGACGCTGCTGGTGGCTGAGGCTGGAAGCCACCAGTGGGAATGCCGATAGTGCTCATCCTCTGGACCAGGTTGGCCACGTTCCCGGCGCTCTTCTCTCTCCTCAGAGGCTGAGAGGCCTCCTCTTTAGGCTCATTCTTTGTTTCCTTGGCCTCTTTAGATTCCTTCTTCAACTCCTAAATAAAAGACATACATATAAGTTCAATTTAGAAGGGAGCATTTTCTTTTTCACTTTGTCTTAGTTTTCAGTAAAATTCAAAGATCACACGAACAAGTTCACATTTCTGGTTTCCACTCTTCCATCTCTAATATACACATATAATTCTACATCTGCTCAAACTTGTATAATATTTTTGTCAACACCTAAAAGTTCACTTCTTTATTTTTTTCAGCATTTATGTTGGTAGTTGAATTTATGCCCTGACCACTGACTGTAAACATGCTTTTGTAACCTGAAGCTATAATCCCAAATCCACAGATTCAGAATGTGTGGGTAAAAATACTGTGTCAGTAGATCATAACTGGAAAACTGCAAAATATAATCCCCAAAATTCCCTGTTCCATAGGACTGCAGTCACTAAACGCAGTGTGATGATCCAGATCCTTCTGGATGTGGCCTAAGAAACTGTTTTGCCACATTCACAAAAAACACAATGAATCTTAATTCTACATGAAAGAGCTTTTCCACCGACATGGAGGCAAACACCTGAGATACTAATGGTGTTTGTTGTCAGACGTTGGTTAGATGAAATGGGGAAATGTGAGACAAGGTAAATTATTTTCACATTACATGGGGAATTGAAATGTGTGGGGCAATTAGCGTTCTGATGAGCTACAGAGACACTAGTGTCCGCCTCAGTGCAGCATTGTTCTAACTACAGCCCACTCATGTTAAATCTAGCTGTCGCTAACGATCCTAATCATGTCACAGTCAGGCGGTGAACCAGCTGCTGCATTCTTGTAGCCTGGGAAACTCCCTGACAACAGAACGAAGTCCACATCACACCTTCACTAACTCCTGTCAGAATATAAAATGACATGTAACTGGCATGTACATTATATACAAAATGTAATATACGTTCATGCTGGGGTGTCAACATGAACATGCAACCATCCATGTATACTCTAATCCTTTGCAAGGTCAAAGAAAAATGAGAGAGTCTCCTATAGATTACCTGGACTGAAGCCGGGCGCCACTGTTTTATAATGATCTGGAAAAAGTTTTTGCACTTCCTATAATAACACAAATGATCTCTGTTGTAAGTGTTTGTGGGGTTGCTTCATTCTAGAGCTGTGTGCCAAGCCACAAAACCATTAAAAACACACCATCAAAAGACCGAGCTATGTCATAGTTGGACTGGCCATCGAGGGGATCATGAGAAAATCCTGCCAAGTTGGTGGCAGAGTAGGCTTTGAAAAGACATTTTCGTCCATCACAGGTGGAACTTGAAGTAAAACCTATGTTTTATAATAATATAGCATAAAACATTAAAATACTAGAAGGCCACTCTGATAGCGCATACTCCAAGACTAATGCCCCAGTTTGCCATGTGAAAGAAGGTGAAAAGAAACCTGGATCTGCCTGTATATCAAATCAACTCCAACATGTATCGGGTTCTTTCTTGTTTCATGCCTCACCCCCCCTACAGTATGTAATGGAAATTGGTCCAGTAGTTTTTTAATAATCCAGCTGATAGACAGAGAGATGCTGTGTGAGAGGTATAATTACACATAATGGACCGATCACCAGGCTAGACAGACGTACAAAGGCAACACTAACACTTGAGCACAGACAGGTAACTTAGTCCAATTAAATAATCAATGTGTTTTTGGAAGCCTTCTTTAGTCTCCAGTCGAGCCTCCTCTGAATGTTTATATCTGAAATCTAGCAGTCAACAAACAGGTTATACAACTATCAAAATAATACGTCAGGCTCAAAGTGTCCTCTCTAATATCACAGTCACTTGTATCAAGTAAATCCAAATAGACTGTACAATCCTCCTTTCACTTTTGGGGACAATAATAGCTTGAAGTTCCTTCCACTAACACCAGGGGACTCAAACTGTGTTTAGGCAGGGTACTAGCATATAAAAAACTGTTTGGTCTTCAAACCACTCGCACTAAACCCAGGAGCAAAGTAGGATCTTTATAGGTATGTTTAAATATTATGGAATCAATAAACTATCAACTTGTGACCATCAGCCTATCCTACACTCCTAAGCACGCTCCTGTTAATCACTCAGTATAGACTGAAGTCTAAAGGTAACCAAGCATTTATTGTGACGAGTTAGAAGCCCCAGAAAGAGGCCCACCAAGTGGGTCTATCATTTGTAAATCACAAAATCAGTTATTAAATAAAGAGATGGTGTGTGTGTGTGTGTGTAAAAAATAAAGTGAAAGGGCCTCAAGAAAGTGTGAACACACATCAACATACACTGTATACAAACACATCTACTAACTGTTTTCCACTCAAAAATGTTACACATCCAGAGTGTTAATACGAAAAGTGGAGCCTGTTGATGATGGATTCTTGAGGCTGTTGACGATTTAAGGAGTAGGACCTAAAGATAACAATATACCGTTACTTCAGTCTACCTGTGCTGCGGACAGTGATGTAAACAGTGGAGTTGGAGCGCGCTCTGCTGGACAAACTATTTCTATATTGTGTTGATTATGTATTGTAACAGTTTCTATACACCCTACACCCCACCTCATATACCACCCTGATATATCTGGGAAAGTTTAACAATGGCCAACGAAATCTAAATCTAAGACTGATAACCCGGTCAAGCTCGAGTGGACCCTTGCACACCCAGAAAAATACACAGACACACACAAAGACGCACACAAGCAGACCTGAAAACATTTTCAGCTCATCAACACATACTCCAAATTCTCCAAAACCCTCAAAGATGACTTATATAATGAATCAAATACCTGCAGAAATTTCTATCGATGATCTTTCACTGATGACAATAATTTAAATGTATTACTCCATCAATAAAATGATCTTAGGTCTCTTAATCCTGAAAGTTAAAGTCCTCACCATGTTTCATGTCCCCTGATCTTCTCAGCTACCAAAAAAAATGCAGTAGGAAGAATAAATACAACATCTCAGATGACTGCAGGGTTGTCGGGAACAAAGTTCAACAACCAGCAGGCTCCTTAGAGGATTAACTATCCAAGCTCAGTGACTGGGCCAGGCTACTTAGCAGATTACCTATCTCACTACGAAGGATTATAGGAAGGGGAAAACAGTAGAGATGAGAGAGGGAGAAGGAAAGGAGACAGTGCTGAAGTGACTCATTTCACAGTACATTAGCAGTGCAAACACCGTGCACAGAAAGGGAAGATTTCACAGTAGAACACTCAGGTGCCTCTAGAGCTAGATCAAGTCCTAACAACAGATGACTCAGTTCACCTCTTCACAGATCCTGTGAGTCTACTGGATCTGTCTGAGAGACAGGTTGACAACTTGCTACACTCAATACAATAAAAGCTGGAAGTGTAAACATGTTATGGATCCCTCTAAAACCAAACACGGACAGACTCACAAACAGCTGAAAGTCTTTACTTTCCATGGAGGACAAGCATCTTGGCTGTCAGAGTGGAAGGTTAGGTGCTAAAGTAAATGTAAGTGTGTGCATCATCATACTGTTGATGACAATATTTTGATAATCAGTTATTTCTTTAGAAGCCATGATGAAGTATTTGTACAATTTTAAAACCTAGTTTTCTTTAACAAGCACTGACAGTGGATTCATTATTCATTACAAGCATCAAACTGCACAAGCCCATGCTTTTAGCTCTCTGTTATCAGTAGTTACAAGGCCAAGGGGGAAACACAGCACAGATGAAGAGCTGCCTACAACAATAAGATAACTACAGGGGCACTCAGAGAGAGCATACCTCTGCCAATGGTCCCCTTATGAAACCACATTTACATTCATTAGATACAGAATTTTATATGGATCTGCACCAAATTGCACACACTCAGCCTGCTAAACATGACACTTTTTCCATCAAGATCAATGAATTATTCTCTGAAAAATTAACAAAATGTGGAAAAATGTGTCGAAAAACATTAAATAATAATTCCTGATTTAAATCTACACAAAAAATCCACCAAGTTCATGGTAAAAAGGGTATTTTGAGCACAACCTAACATTACATATAGCATCAGGATTTCTGTATTCATATTATTAATCCAAAAAAAACATTTCCAGAAAATGTACCAAGGGAATATCTTAACTTGCAGACCAGCTCTGAGAAAGTTAACCCTTTTACAACTATGGTCGAATATGATCCATATGGCACAACAGAGGAGCGATTCTCACCTTCACAAAGTTGTCAGGGAAGAGCCCCCTTTTCCCGTTGAGGTCCCCCTCCATCCAGCCGTCCTCATCTATGTACCGCACGTTCTTGATGATGTCACCTATTCGCAGGGTCAGCTCGTCATCGTGGAGCGCTTCATACTCGTACTCCACAGCAACCTCTGCTCAGGACAAGGGTGAAGGAGGAAACCGCCAGAGAAAAAGAAAAGAAAGAGGATGGAACCGGGAAGGAAGAATGGTGCAGAGAAAGCCAGACAAGGAGAGAAACAAGAAAGGGTAAGGAGAAGGGAGAGGAAGACAGAGGAAGGCCATGGGGGGGAGAGATAAGATGAGGAAGTTCAGGAAAAGAAAGGGGAGATAAGAAAAACAATAACAGAGAATTTAACAAAACATAATATTTACATGGTGATAAAGAATATGTTAAATTGATATCTGAAACCACCTTAATATAGAAACAGTAACGTGATAAAACATCAAACATTTTCCTCCTTTATCTGTTAATGTGCTTTTATATTTCTGGCACTTAAAATGACGATGGGATCTTATGCTATATTCAAAAGTGTATAAGGTCTTTCAGTCTGAGAGCAGGACAAGTTAGTTCACATTCAGCTTTTGCCATTCTTTTAGTAAAACCCTGCACTTGCACTCAAACATACCCAGCCTGTGCATAGAATTGCTCTGCTTGTCGGTATGCTTGAAGAAAAAGGACAACAGCTTCATGGAGCATGAGTCCAGCAGATCGCTGGTCAACACGGAGAGGCAAAAACAAGGATGTCAAGTTTATTACTTTATGGGAACACTGTTGCTATAGGGAATATAAAAACAAAATAAATGCTGCCCTGTTTCTTTTCCCCCTGTGTTTTATGGGAAAAGCACAAACAGCAAAAGTGAAACAAGGGTGGGACAATTTTGTTCGTCAACACTGCACCTGGTATTTTATTTGTCAAGGAATTGTGAAAGAAAAGAAAAAAAAAATCCAAGAGCAGACGTTTCATGTGCGCAACGAAGCAGCGTCGAAGAAAAGAGCTGAAGCTGGAAGAAGGAACACAGCACCAGCAGGGTCAATTTGAGTATGAGCGCAAGGTTTTCAGACAGAGCATTTCAAACTCTGAACATGAATCCAATAACTTCTGGCAATAAGTCCTGCTTAAAACTTTAAGACCACACTTGTGATAAAGATAGGAAAGTGTTTGGCCCTGGCAACACATGTCTGATTACAATAAGACAAAGAGCAGTAGTAATAACAGAATAATAACTTTATTTGTGTAGCACTTATCTAAACAAGGTTACAAAGTGCTTCACACAAAAGTCCATGGCATAATGAAGAATGGATTGTGATAGAGGTATTGTGTTTAATTCAATTTAAGAGCCAAATCATAACATAATAAGGTAAAGACCTTAGGTTTATAGACAAACCCAACAGTTTGAGTGAGAGAAGGAGATAAACAGGCTGCTTCAAGTGCAGCAGGTTAAACAGCCTCTAAAAATAAGCGGGCTGCAGAGGACAAACTGGTATTGAGGTATTTTATTCATCGGCGTGACCATTTAACACAGAGTGACTCTGCTGGCATGGCTGGCTGCACACCAAGCACAGCCATAACAAAAAAAAAGATGCAGGTAACAATGCAACACACACACATGCACTTCACTCAGAGTCATTCAGCACTTCACTAGACTGCTCAGGCAGTACGAGGCTAACTGCTGTATGACGTGGCTCAGTTTTGACTGCTGGAACATGTGTTTGTGTATTCATCTGTCCAAGCCTCTGACTTCATCAGCCTTGGCCTAAAGACAGCAGCCTGAGCCAACGTCCAATGAGCTTTCACCTACACATTACACCGTCAATGCATAAGATCGAGGAGAGGACAAGAGCAATGCAGTTCAAGGGCAGACAGAAAGATAGCGCCTGCTTGGCCGCCAGCTCCACTCATACTGCTGACTATTCATAATTAATTAGCTAAAGTTTTGAGATAAATCCATCTATTATCTTTACCGCTTTTCGTTTAAAGGTCCAGTGTGTAAGATTTAGGTGAAAGGAAACTACTGACAGAAATCTAACGTAGAATAATTCTCATGATGTTTTCACTAGTTCATTTAATCTAAATTGTATGAATTGTAGTTTTCTTTACCCCAGAAAAGGCCCTTTATATTTAAAAACTTTATATTTACATCGAGGGGACCTTCTCTACGGAGGCCGCCATGTTTTTTACATAAGTCCAGACTGGAACAACAGGTTCTTTTTCATGTTTGGAAGGAGAGGGTGAAGTGAGGGGTGTTCAGCTGCAACATGCAATTTCACCACTAGATATCACACAATTCTACACACTGTACCTTTAAGGGTCACAGGGGGAGATGACAGCAAACATTGGGCGAGACGGGGGATACACCCTAAACAGGTCACCAGCGTATCACAGGACTGACCTAGAAATGCTTCCTGAGGCTAACCACATCTTGAGGTGCTATAAAAGACAGCACAAGACCAACCATACAGCATGTTGACATGTTGTCATTTCTGAATAGGGTTGGTGATTGTGCATTGAACATGCATCAGCACTGGAGTGACTACATTAGACAGATGTAGTGCTGAGGTCTGTCTGCCTGCTGAGGATGGTTAAATCCTCATGGATGTTGGCCACTTAAGTTGTTTAATAGCAAGGCTAAAGAAAGGGGTTCACACTCCCACAGTTCTGCTGGTTTACACTGCAAATACTTGCATGTGGTGACATCATAGCGGGCTCTATTAAACTGTGATACGTGGGTTTTCTGACATTTAACAGATTAGTTGATTAGACAATCACCAGAAAGTTGGAGCCTCACTCTCAACAGAGTGCAGTAAGACAAACTGAAAAAGTAACACTTTTACTACTTTATCTACTGTAATCAATGTTATTTTAGTCATTGAACAGACAACTCCAAAATATTAACATGTTCCTCTACAAACAAAGATATCTCTTCAGTTTCAGTATCTGCTGGGGTTTTTTCATTTAATCCATTAATTTTAACAAAGAGTTTTAAGTTTACAATGATATAAAAAGAGACAAAAAAAACTACAGGGAATGTTTGGTAGCTATTTTGCTTAAATTAGTAAAAACTATGAATAAATGATCAAAACAGCTGACAATTCTATTCTGTTAACTGACCAATGGCTTATTGTTTCAGCTTTATTCATTCCCAGAGTATTTTGAAAGAGCTTGCTGTATTCCACAATGTTTGGCACTTGAGTCCTTACAATATTGTAAGAGCTCCCTCCTCATGGAAGATCTCAGAGCAGTTTGAAGGAACACATAATAACTTGCCAACCAGTCTTTGGCAGTCGGCTGAACAGGTCTTTTTATTTTGCAGCTGCAAAACTGAAACTGCAGCAGATTCTAATAGTGAGTTATGATCACAGGGAGTCCAACATGGTCATAAGAACCATCCTGTATATAAATGGTGCTGGACAGGATAATTAAATTCTTAAGCTCTGGTTTAATGGAGACCAGGGAGACATTATGGATCAGGTAGTGAAAACTATTTACAGCCAGGAGGGTGAGCAGCACTCCTCTTCTTTTACTCATTATGTTATGAGTCCAGCTGCTGTCCAGTGGTTCTTAATAACCCTGAACTCCCTCTGCACCAATTTCTGGCCCATCAGCACTCACATCAACCACTGATAAGACTATAGATGTAATCAGCTCTGAGCACTGCAGTCTAACCAACAATCCAGATACATGAGGCACAGAAAAATAACAGACATGCCAAGCAACACAGAAAATAAACAACTGAGGAGAGGCCCAAGACAGTAATTTGGGCCTATCTGCCCATATAACCACAGGAAGAGATACGGTCTGCTCACCCGTTAACAAAACAAGAGGCAGCACTGACAAGCAGAGTCAAACTCAGCTGAGCTAAGGCAGTACACAGGGCCGTGCTCATCTTCCAGATGATTGGACGTGAAGCAGAGGGACTTTTGTGCAACCACACAGATTACAGTGTCTCAGCGACGATACGAACACGCCCCGCCTGAGGACCACAGGCCAGCCAAATCACTACCAATTAAATCACTTCCACAAACACTGATCTACACTTTCGTCCACACTATAGTCTCGATTTTCCCACTCAACTCAATCTTTAAAATACCAGATGATAATGTGTTCCTTAAATTATTGTTATTATGGTCTTGAGGAGAGGGGAAACCAACACATAACAGGAAACTGCTCTCGGTAATTTTCTTCATATTTGTTATTTTAAACTGTTTTGTAAAGTGTTTATGTGAAGTGTTAAAAAAATGATTTTAATTTATACAGCTCAAGGTCAAATACAGTATACACATTGTTTTTAGTAAAACTCAACAGGATTCTTTTTCATTTGAAATTTAGGTCTAACCTACACAAGCACTTAATTTCTAAAAAAAAACTATTTTGATAATTTGATGCTGCCACCAACATTGTTTGACTTCTACAGAAACCCCCCACAGATGGAGGAAGTGATATTTCTGAAATGTGTTTATGCCTCATCATCTGTAACAGTAGAATCAGAAAACATCAGCAGGGCTGTGCGGTACAACCATTTGTCATGAGATGATACAAAAACATCCTTCATTTCTTATTATTCTCTCATTATCATTTATTTCTTTGTGTCACAAATAACTATTGACAACAATGTGTTTCATCATTTGGACAATACTCAACAGAAAATCAATCTACTCATAAAAATCGATTCATCTTTTTGTCTTTTCTCTCTTTCAAGCTTGTTACATGTACATACTTTATGCGTAAATGTTTTCTGTCCCCTGTGATAGAGAACCAAATGTGTTTGGTTTTGACCAGTTGGTCTGACAAAACAAGACATCTGATCATTTCTCTCTGTTTACTTTCATGTTATAGACAAATTACTGAATAACTGGCGCAATAACAAAATAAGCACATAACAGATTAAAAAGAAGTTTGCAGCAGCCTCATTGCGGTGCTGTTGCAGGGGTATATGTGTATATTGAGGCATCCATAATAATGTTCTGTTCCTGAAACCTCTGAAGGACTGACTTGACTTTGTTGTATTAGAGTATTTGGTTTCTCCAATCAGGGGGTCAGAATACGTGGTGATTATGGATGTGATTGTGTGAGGGTAAGAAAAGATGATCTCCTTTTACTTCTGTAGAAGTCAAGGCTTTTTATCACAACCA